AATCATTTTAAAACCCAACAAGATAGTCGGGTAGGTGACCCATAGATTTTGCCTGCCCATCTTCAAAGTAACCTGCCCACATTCAGACATTATGAAGATTGAAAAATCGTGAAAAATAAGAGACAAATCGCGTCTTGAATCGGTTGAAATAATGCAAACAATTACTTGAAAATCTATGAGGAGTTACGATAAAATTAAAAATTATCTGCCAGACAGTCGGGCAGGTGGGGGAAAATTTCATGCAGCCCGACAGAAAAGTTACCAGCCACGGGCAGGTGGCCAGGCAGTTATATCGGGCGCTGGTTCCCGCGTGAATCTTGCTAATATTCAGCGTAGTTGTGATGTGTGTTCTTTTCTTAGTCAAGTAATAACGTTAGGTTATATATTACGCACGGACGTCAAATTGCCTTCCGACATATGTGAACTTTATGTTGGGTAGTAGGGATGTTTGTTCCTTCTCAGTCTACTGATGACTTGGGGCCAGGTGATCCCCATGGAAGGCAAATGAGCCACCGTACAGGAACTTTGGGCGAACCCTGCATTGCGAGACATTGAATCATCGTGTAGAGCAGATAGCCCAAGACTGTGACACATTTGGCACTCGATGTTGGTGGAAAAGGACTGTGTGATGTAATTTAAGCTCCCCTCACTGGTTTCCCACGTACTAGAAAAAGGCCTTGATTATACCGCAAATCTGGCCTCCACTGGTGATTGAGGAACGTAGATGATTCGATCATCACTGGGAATTCTTCCTACATGAAACGGAAATGTCCTTATTCATGTTATATGAATAAATTACTGTTCATAGTGGCGTAAAATCAAGCTCATGAACTTTTATAAAAACCTTGGGTAAAATTTGAAACCATATGTTTGTAGGTCTTATGACAAATTAGTTTTCAAAGGAAAGTGGAATGTTGTAGGTTACAGGGGGCAAAGGTAGCCCAGTCATCTAAGGCGCTGCAATTTGCTGTGCAGTGTTGTGTCCCTTGGGCATGACAGAAACCTATGATTGTGGGTTTAACTTTTGGTTCACCCCGATTATATTTCTCGGTTTGTCAGTGCCATACCCGTGCTTGTGGGTTTAACCTAAGTGGTAAACATTTGATACCTGCATCACTTCGGGCTCTCCTCCCACATTAAGCTGACACGCTGTGATATGACTGGAATACTGTTTAAATCCAACTCACTCACTCAAGATGAGCCATCCTTAACAGGGCCTCATGATTCCTTATTTGGTCGTCAGAGGCTTGTTATATTCCCTAGGTTATAAAACACTATCAGTAATTCATGATTAACAGAGGTGATTGAGAGGACAGTTACCATGGCAACATATTTTAAATTTGGATCAGCGGACATTGATTATACACTGACTTAAAGCAGAATTGTTGAATTAATTACGTATATTTCATATGCATGATTTATTTTTCAAATAAAATAACTTGACAATTCATGCAATCCGATATCAACATGAGGCTAGAGCTGATTGAATCTGTGGAAAATATTTCTGATTGTAAAGTGAATTATTCTCAATGAGGGACTGGTCATTTATTAAAAGGAGTGTGTGTGTGTGGGGGGGGGGGGGTGGGGGGGGGAAAACTAACGCACAATTGCCGAATTGATAATGATGCAAGTTTCTACTTGTATTGTCGGAAGGCCAGTGAGATTTTGAGCTGATGAATACTCTGGTGTACAAAGGGACACTTTGCTTTATTGCGTATTTGTGAAGGGAGGGTCAGAATACAAGTACAGTTATCTCCCTTGGGCTGGTTGAACTGACTGTACATTGAGTCAATAATCCAGTACTTCACTTTCATGCCCCACCAGGGGGCACAGTCGTCACAGGCGACGCATGTTGCTGTGCAGAGAGACACCCGGCACGTCTCACAGCTGTGAGTGTTTATGTTGAAAGAGTGGGCCACATTAGACTATTGTAACATTTGTATTCACTGCGTGAATAAACAGGGTTAGACACAGCCACTCGTCTGTGAGCGACTTGTGAATATTCATAGAGACTAGCTGTCTTCTGCCCAAATCAAGCGACATATTTTCCATAAACCACTAGTCCGAAATGAACAGAGACTAGTTGACCAAAGTGAGCTGTTCTCAATAAGGGACTGGTCATTTATTAAAAAGGTGTGGGAGTGGGGGGGGGGGGGGGAGTCCCTAACATACATTTCTTAGTGTAATACACTCGCATTAAGGTGGAGCTGTGCACAGCTGTCTGCAACTTACACACAATTGCTGCATTGATAATGATGCATGTTTCTACTTGTATTGCCGGAAGGCCAGTGAGATTTTGAGCTGATGAATACTCTGGTGTACGAAGGGACACTTTGCTTTGTTGCGTATTTGTGAAGGGAGGGTCAGAATACAAGTACAGTTATCTCCCTTGGGCTGGTTGAACTGACTGTACATTGAGTCAATAATCCAGTACTTCACTTTCATGCCCCACCAGGGGGCACAGTCGTCACAGGCGACGCATGTTGCTGTGCAGAGAGACACCCGGCACGTCTCACAGCTGTGAGTGTTTATGTTGAAAGAGTGGGCCTCCTTAGACTATTGATAACATTTGTATTCACTGCGTGGGTAAAAAGGGTTAGACACAGCCACTCGTCTGTGAGTGACTTGTGAATATTCATAGAGACTAGCTGTCTTCTGCCCAAATCAAGCGACATATTTTCCATAAACCACTAGTCTGAAATGAACAGAGACTAGTTGGATTTGACCAACAGTGTATATCCCTGATATACATTGTGTTGACAGATTTGTGGCTGATATTGAACTTTCAATGCCAAGACATGTTATCATTCAAAATTTATGGCTTATACTATCAGTTCCAATTTTCTGAGCATCAAAAGTTCAGTAACTTTCGCTAGTGGAAAATCTAGACTTGCTTCGTTTCGAGCTATAACATTACAAGGGCTGGGTGGAAGGGAAAATTAAATGATTCAGTGGCTGTGAGACAGACTTGGGCATAGTTGCCTCAGTAATCTGAGATGCTACAATTGGTTTTACAGAGTTACCTCCCTTAGCTCATATTATCAACAGGGCTGGGTTCAAATCCTAGATCCTTGTCCTGTTACCATTTCACCAAAGTGGTAAACGTCAGACCTGCATCACTTCGGGCTTTCCTCCCACATCAAGCTAACATGCCGTGATATAACTGGAATGCTGTTAAAAGCGGCGTTAAAACCAACTCACTCACTCACTCATGTGACCACCATGTTTTGAGGATTCACAAGGGGATACAACTTTGAATCCCCCATAAAGAGGACATGCTGTGATAGAACTGATGTACTGTTCAAGGGAATATTAAACTCATTCATCTCACTCTATCTGTTTTTGTCAGCATGACCGATGTGAGTTTCCTGTTGACCATCCCAAGGACACTTTCTAACAGTCGTCAGACACTACTTATCTGTCCTAAGGCTTGTTCTGTTTGACTTTCGATAGACGCGATAAAGATTTATCACCCATGAATTAAGTGGATGTCCTCAGGGCGGGAATATTTCTGTCTTGTCACGGCCATGGAAACAGTTTCAACCAATCACAAAACTTATACTGTATTATTTGAACTATTGTGCGAAGATCAAGGTCAACAGACTGTATGATTTTCTTAATTTGTAAAACTCTGAAATGCATCATCTTGATGTGGCATGAGTGACATTTTATCATTTAAAATGTGTTTTGGTAATTTGGGGAAATGAGAGATAATGTTAGGATTACCATTTTGTTGGAACCAATTAACATGTATGGTGCTGATGGACCAAGGATAAAAATCTTGGATTTGAATAGACATACGGGGAATCCTGACACAACTAAGGGAGGTCACTGTTGAGTGTGATATTAACTGCACATATCATGATAACTGCGAAGGGGAATAAGAGGTAATCTAATGAATCAGGTGTCAGGCATGGTGATGTGGCTGAGTGTGTCATTGAACCCGAAGACATGGGGCGTTTCTCATAATATCAGTCACTGGTTTGCCAGATCAGACTTCATTATGATCAGACTGCCATAGCTGGCATATGCAGAGTGTGGCTTTTAAACAGCAAACAAAACAAGCATGAAATATTCATATGTCAAGTAGTGTGCAAGGCATTACCCCCCTGGAAACGGGCACGACCACCATTTTCAGTCTAAGTCAAAGTCGCTGCTATGGAAACTCAACTTTTTCAAAAATCCAAAACTATCAAAAGGCACCAGTTCACTACTAGACCTATCTATGTGCCAAGTTTGGTTAAGATATCTCTCATGGTTTTTTAGTTCTGCTCCGGACGGACGGATAGGACAGCACCCATTCTCATAATATTCCCCTTCCACTTCGTGGCGGAGGATCATTAAGGCATGAGGCAATGGTAATGGATGACTCTGTATTGTGGTCCAATGGTATTAGAAGTATGATTTGTTAACACTGAAGGCACAATGAACCAGACTGTTCGCGAGCCACTTGAATCTGAAAGGCTCATCAGGAATACAGTGGTATGTTCAACTTCAGCCTTTCATGTTTGTTTGTCGTGTGATTACGACAACAGACGAGTACTTATTGTCCATGGCTATGCTGGGTCCGTAAGAGCTTTGTTAACAGACTGATATGTGAACATTGACACCATGATGTGGAATTAAGTGCTTTATAAACAAACATTTCACTGTCATGTCAACTGAATCTTGGCTCAGTGGATGATGGATGAGTATGGTTTTACGCCGTTTTTAGCAATATTCCAGCAATATCACAGCGGGGGACACCAGAAATGGGCTTCACATGGAGTTAATCTGCCATGACAGTAATATAGAAGAATCGGGTGGTTTTGTTTAGTTTATGTCTGGAATTGCAGATGGCTGTCTGTAGTAGGTTCCTGATGGGCTTCACTTTGTATTGATGCTTTTTCTCCGCTACATGGCAAGATTTACATAAATCACACTGCATATAAAAGTAATTGGCAAAATTGATGTGGTGGTCTGTGCTTTGATGTTTGATGTTTGATGTGGTTGTGTTACAGAGAGGCAGCTCGCCAAGGTGCGGACCTCGAACCTGGCGCCAACTCAAGTGAAGAGATGGAAAATGTCCTGTACTGTAACGCCAAGACTCGGGTAAGGATCAGTTTCATAGTGATAGGGTCGGGTAATAGGGTGGTGGGTACCCGGGTAGGGTCGGGTAATAGCGTGGTGGGTACCCGGGTAGGGTTGGGTAATAGGGTGGTGGGTACCCAGGTAGGGTCGGGTAATAGCGCGGTGGGTACCCGGGTAGGGTCAGGTAATAGGGTGGTGGGTACCCGGGTAGGGTCAGGTAATAGGGTGGTGGGTACCCGGGTAGGGTCGGGTAATAGGGTGGTGGGTACCCGGGTAGGGTCGGGTAATAGCACGGTGGGTACCCGGGTAGGGTCGGGTAATAGCACGGTGGGTACCCGGGTAGGGTCGGGTAATAGGGTGGTGGGTACCCGGGTAGGGTCGGGTAATAGGGTGGTGGGTACCCAGGTAGGGTCGGGTAATAGCGCGGTGGGTACCCGGGTAGGTTCAGGTAATAGGGTGGTTGGTACCCGGGTAGGTTCAGGTAATAGGGTGGTTGGTACCCGGGTAGGGTCGGGTAATAGCACGGTGGGTACCCGGGTAGGGTCGGGTAATAGGGGTGTGGGTACCCGGGTAGGGTCGGGTAATAGGGTGGTGGGTACCCGGGTAGGGTCGGGTAATAGCGTGGTGGGTACCCGGGTACTCGTCCCAGCCCTAGCAAAGCCCTAGTCACTTTGAATGGACTATGGTAGCTCCATATAGTGTGTTGTGACAATTCCCTGAACACCCTATAGAATAACAAGACAAGCAGAGTGTATATAGACTCCTCATATAAGGAGATAGAGTCTGCAAATACACTGTACTGGCCCAAGTATCAAAGGCAAGATCCCTCGTGCTCCAATAAACTGATTTGCTTTGTTGATCCCACACCTTCCATGGGTAATCTAATTGGCACTTAACCTATTCCACCTGTCCACACCTGCCCAATCAACAGGTACGCAGAGGTAGAACAGGTATATGGTCAATTATTGAAGTATTGTAATCTGTGCATGTCCCAGCCACCGGGGTTCAATGATGGCGATATTTGACAAGCTTTATGACAGGAACACAGGATAATGGTCTGACCCTTATTTGAACCTGTCTCATTATTCACAATGTTAACTGCTGCATTTGACTATGAAATAAATGTCACACATGGTGGTTAATGGTGGCTGGGAAGATAGTGATGTACGTACAGTGAAGTAGGACATGGGGTCACTTGGCATTAATGTAGTTTTAGGCCAACTACTGTGTTCAAATGGCAATCAGATGTGTGTGTTTGTTGTTTAATGACGAATTCAGCTATATGATGGTGGCCTCTGAACAATCGAGTAAGGACCAGACAATCAGTGATTAATATTATGAGCAATGATCCATGCTGGTATGATATCATTAAGTTGTCTCTTACGCCTAGTATAGGTTGCTGGGAACCAATTCTAACCTGGAATCCCTGTTGTATACAAATCATTGTGCAGAACAAGTGAGTGAGTGAGTGAGTTGGGTTTAACGCCGCTTTTAACAGTATTCCAGTTACATCACGGCGTGTCAGCTTCATGTGAGAAGAAAGCCCGAAGTGATACAGGTCTTAGACGTTTACCACTTCGGTGAAACCCATGAGCACAGGTATGGTGCTGACAAACCTAGAAACATATTCGGGGCGAACCGGCATTCGAACCGACAATCATAGGTTTCTGGCGTGCCCAAGGAACGCAACTCTGCACAGCGAATTGTGGTGCCTTAGACGACTGGGCCACCCGTGCCCCCCGCACAACAAGTATTTCATCTATGGACTTATCAATTTGACACAATATATTTGTAGGTCTTAATGACAAATTAGTTTTCAAATGAAAGTGGAATGTTATAGGTTACAGGGGGCACAGGTGGCCCAGATGTATAAGGCGTCACGATTCGCTGTGCGTCCCTTGGGCACGCCATAAACCTATGATTGTTGGTTCGAATCCCAGTTCGCCCCGATTATGTTTCTAGGTTTGTCAGCACCATACCCGTGCTCATGGGTTTCACCAAAGTGGTAAATGTCTAAGACCTGCATCACTTCGGGCTTTCCTCCCACATTAAGCTGACACGCTGTGATATAACTGGAATACTGTTAAAAGCGGCGTTGAACCCAACTCATACACTCACCTTAGCTCCTTTGTCTTTATGTGCATTAACCAACTGAATTGTTAGTTAATCACCTCTTGGGAATGCCGGAATTTCTTTTTTCCTTTAATTTACTTTGATGACAGAACAGTTTCACAACAAGTGTGTGTCGCTAGTAGGATTGAAACTCGCAAAGTCTGTACCAAAGGCTAACGAATGGAGTCGTCTGCCATGGTGACATGGAAGAAACCATGTCAAAATTAACAATGACATCAAGACTGAAGTTATTCCTTTTCATGAACAGGAATATTTGTTATTTATTTAAAATGTTGTACTATGTTGCTCTTAATCACAGCTGTGTTTACTTATCAACATGGGCAAATAATGTTTATGTGAGATGACTGACGTCCATGTTGTGTGTTGCAGGACGACTATATGCAGCTGATTGCCTCCCTTGTCCTACATTTAAATGAGAAGAAGCGGGCTGCTCACCGAGCGAGAAGTGAGTAGACAGTGAAACGGGTGCAGAGATGATATTTATTATTCACCCAACACGATTAAGAGAAATATATACTCACCGCTCCAAAAAATGCAAACCATAGAAACATATAGAGAAGTATGTACGTTAGGAAGAAATGTTTCCAAGGTGTACCACTTAATGACAAAACTAACAATCAGTCAAGTGTCAACTTTATTCTTATCAGATGATTCTTAAGCTGCACATGATTTCCAAACTTGACATACTAATCCTGCATGAGACAACTGGAGCATCTCGAGCCATGGATCTATGACCTAACATGATGCGTTCATGAGCATCGGTTCAAACAACATAACAGTATCTTTGTTTGTGCATCAAACCAATCTAATATCTCTTGAGTTTGAGTAATTCTTAATATATTAACCAACGTGTATGGTATTCGCATTTCTTATGTCGGTGAGAATATTACAAATTTTGTCAGAAAGAATCACTAGTAATGTAGACCTCACTTCTGGCAGTGTCACACACTACTCAAAAGAAGTACACTCAATTTTATTTTTATACGACTTACTGTAGTTTATCTGTCTCGTTTTAAATGTAGTCATATGAAAAAATCGGGTGTTCTTCTACAATTGAGTAGCTGATGTTTACCTACTAATAATCAATTGTGTTAGATTAGTGTTAGAAAAGTTACTTTTTTTTAATGATTTGTGGTAAGATGCAATGCCAAACATATGTTTATCAAAACCATAAAGTTGGTCTAATTATTACTGATATTTTTTTGTTTTAAATTATCAACTTTAGATTTAAATTATTCCATATACAGTGGTCCCTCGCTACAACGCTACCAATGGGGTCCAAATAATTGGTGGGCGTTATAGCCCACTAATTAAGAATATAAACTTCGCTTGTGGTTCTCTTTTATTGCATGCATGCGCTTCTAAGATCAAAGGATGTATAGTGTGAAAAGTTAACTAGTTGAACAATCGTATTTCCGGGACTTGCCGCGGATGTTTTCAAACAGATTATTAGAACTCCATTCAGCGATAAACGGTTGATTATGCAATGAGAAGCGTTATGTGCAAATGAACAACGAACAACAGTACAATTATGTCTGTGTAAAACTCTCAGTAATAAAAGTGTACATAAATTTTGGGAGCCAAGCGTTCCCGTGCGTAGTAACCGAGGTAGCGCTTTATCGAAGAGCGCAATAGCGAGGGATCTCTGTATTCCTAATAACTCCAGGTGGGATCTCTGGACTGCCAGCAGCATTGTAATACATAACCAACTTAGAAAGATGCTATGGCATGGGAGATAACTCTAAAACTGGTTGTGTACTGTTTTGTGTGTCAGAAATGTAAGATGGTAAATGTTCTATGTTGTTCAATTGTTGAATACAGGTACCGGTAGTGTAAGGTGTCACAATTTGATGTGAAGAGTTAATTATAATAAAAAAGATAACTGTTTCCAAGATATCAGACCTTTTTTTTAATGCCTCCCTCAGGACAATAATTAGATGATAGAATACACTGGTATAAATAATTCTTCTTTCTCAATTCTATTGTAATAAACACCCTGGAACAATCAGCCACCTTAGCTTTGTTCAGCATGTGATGTCACTATCTCATCTTCCTTGTCAGTTACTGTGCACATAATTTCCATCTCCAAGGGCTAAATGTTTAATTATTTTAATTAATTATTTTAGCATCTCCCAGTACCTATGGTGTCAAATGGGTCCAGGGTAAATATGTGAACACAATGGAGATATCATTCCCTGGACAACTGAGGATGATTTGACAGTAGTTTCTGAAAAGCTTGGATGTTCTAAACTGATTTGTGTCTATAATCCTGGTATTTGCTTCACAGGTTCTGCACCACAGGAAGTTGGTGGCCAGACAAACGAAGGATCGTCAAGTGATGGGGCCAGCGCCAGTTAATAATCTGGAATCAGTCACTGTGAGTTGGCCACCATGAGAGGAGTCTTAAATATTTAGAGAAATGCCTATCAAACAATTCTTGATGCTAAATCATCATCTTGAATGATATTGATACAATATAATTAACATTTTTCTTGATTTATCGCGACGGCCTACATGGTCTAGTGAATAGAGCATCTGTTAGGGGAGGGTCTAGTGAATAGAGCATCTGTTAGGGGGGTGAAAGGTCAGTGGTTTGATCTCTTGTCGCCAATAAATGGTGAAAGATGGCATTAATGGTATAAACGATGACTGACTCGTACTGTGTCAAGGCAAGGTGTCTCAGTGGACTAATGGTGGTTTTATAATGCTAGCCCAGACTAACACGCAGTTCATAATTTTCAATGATTTTCAATCTATCATCTTCCTTGATTGATAGCTCACAGTTTTTGTTCCATATCTTTCTAAAATCCATATGAATTTTGTTTTCAGGAACAAATATTTTTTCTTCACCGATGTCTTTTTCTTGGACCAAGTCAAGAAAGAAGTGATTTTACAACTCCACAAAGTCATGAAATTTGGAAGTGTGTGATGTAAATATGTCTCATAATTTGCACACGATGTCTGAAAGCAGCCATCCCCACATGACCTGAATACATGTCCTGGCGTTTAATATCATGCAACATGTATATGCTGAAATAACATTGTAATAACAGTATGTCACTCATGATAATTGAAACTCTCAAATTATTTATATTTCTTTCAATGTTCATGTCCTATAGTCAAAGCCAAGGAATGAAAAAAAACAACGTAATTTCTATTAAGGGAGACAACTGTGTGTGAACTTTGGGTCATACAAAACTTACTTTGTTAGACTTTTAGTGACTCTCAAATATACAATATTGGAGTATATCTCATGTGTTTGTGGTCTATTAGCAGTGTTAATAACTTAAGGTATCCTTTTTACTAGTTAATTAGAATTTGAATGTCATTTTAATCAATGATTACTTGCCATTATTGTTTACAATGAATTATCATTGTAATTCATGTAGATAGTTGAAGATCTGAATTGTTTTTGGTAGCAATAGCTGATTAAATCAAGTGTCAGAAAAGATCAAATTTATATGCACTCATGCCACGTTTTTCTGATCTTGATTTTTTGTAAACTCCCCGATCTCAATCATGTTCAACCACCTGACGTTGACAATATTGAGTCCATGATCATCCACACAGCTTAGCCCAGCGACGGAGTGCCCTTTAATCCTTTAATTCCAGATAAGGGTAATGCCCCCTTTAATCAGTGACTCATTCCAGATTAAAGGGTAATGCCCCCTTTAATCACTGACTCATTCCAGATTAAAGGGTAATTCCCCTTTGTTGATGGACAAACAGTAATCATACGAAACATGGAAAGAAAAAATATAAAAGATCTTTCCGAAAAAGTAATTCCTGTTCCTCACATGCTTTCCAATGCATCTTGGGCATCATCGGTGTCCTCCCTATTGGACACCGAGGATCATGAACTTGGCAACGGGGCTACCTGGATGCTGTGTGAAGGATCTGGAGGATGCAATGTAAACCTATCTTCTCCACACTGTTTGACGTTTGTCTATCTTTCGGTTCTTGCTTCGGTGCTATTGTTCAGATGTATCCTATGGATATGGTCTGCTTCATCACTGTACTGGTAGCCTTCCTCGGAATAAATTGGTTGATGTAATTTATCACAGTGTTTTCTTGTTGATCAATATAATAGCAATTCCAGGATGCTGTTCCACGATTGTCTCAATATTTGTTTTGTTTTGCTGAGCAAAGTGTCCAGATAATTTTAAGTACTGTAAACTACTTTCATTACGAACTGACCAATATGACGAACTTATTTTTTAGTCCCGGCCATTTGTTGCATATATGCTGTACATAATTATAACGAACAACGGTTATTACAAACTAAATTTAGTGGTCCTTTTGAGTTCGTTATAACCATAGTTTACTGTACATACTGGTCCTAAGTTTGCTAAAAGCGGCGTAATATCACGGCAGCGGACACCAGAAATGGGCTTCACACATTGTACCCACGTGGGGAATTGAACCAGGGTGTGACGAGCGAACGCTTTAACCACTCGGCTACCCTACCACCCCCCTAAGATAGTTTGATGGCACTCCTCTACTTGCATGCAACTATTGCAAATAATGCTTAAGTCACTTTATTCAAATGGGTCCAGTTCAGGATCCACCCCATGGGGATTCCGCGTTAGAATGGGTCCCCATCAACCTATGCTGGTCGTAACAGGTGACCAAGTGGATCTGGTGGTTACGCTCAGTGACGCGATTGCTTCTGTGTGATCACATCCGACAATGTGGATTGTTGCTCACAATATCAATTATTTACAGGCAGGTGTTATGAAGCTTGAGTGAGTTGGGTTTTACGCCGCTTTACGCAATATTCCAGCAATATCATGGCTGGGGTACACCAGAAATGGGTTCACACATTGTACCCTGTGACGAGCAAACGCTTTAACCACTAGGCTACACCGCAGCCCCTTTGAAGTTGCAATGTTGTGGAGTCGGAGTAAAACAAACAGTATAGAAGATACCCTGCTTGTCGTATACGCCAACTGAAGCTTGGTCTGTCCCAATGGCAGGTGTCCTTGTGGAGGGTTGCCTGTCCCTTTGCAGTTCTACATTGGGCACTACTTTAGCCTAGATCTGTGTGATGTTTAGACAAAATCTGTTAATAATGTTCACCGAGAGATGATTTGATGAGGACAAACAGTTTTATCTTCAGAGGGACCTATGCATTTTTCACTGATAATATTATAGGTATTCTTTGAAACTGTTTCACTACAAGCAAACTATTATCCATCATGATGTATCAGTTTACTTCAGACCACATTAAAACATTATTGGGGAAGGAGATGACTAAATTTGGGAAATAGTTGATCTTTTAGGCATAAATTGAATTGGAAGTTTTTTCAACACTTCAAATGATTTGGTTTACATATTGTCCACCAGTCAAGTCCAGACCAGGCAAACCATTGGTTGATAGCATCATCAATGTCCAGATCTTTAGTGTATGATAAACTCATTCAGGCAAGTAACCGTTTGTTTGTTGTTTAACACTCGACAATTTTCAAGCTTTATGATGGCGGTCTGTAAAAAATCAAATCTGGACCAGACAATCTAGTGGTTGACATGAGCATCGATCTAGGCAATTGGCATCAACCACGTCAGCGGGCCTGACCACCCGATCCTGTTAGTCGCCTCTTGCGGCAAGCATGGGTTGCTAAAAACCAATTCTTACCTGGATCTCATGGCTTGTCAAGTGACCGAGCCTAACCACCAAATTCTATTTTAGTCAGCTGGTATTAGACCTGTTGCAACCCTACATCGCCACTTGGTTTGCCCGATCCAAATGCACACGGACAGGACACCTGTACTTTAAACACATGCTTGTGTAACATCCACTCTGGCTGTGAAATTCGATCGGCTTAGAGTAAATAAATAACCAGATTATTCTCCCTGGACCTGTTCCGCATGGCAATCTTTGTAGTTAAAGTAGGAATGGTACGATCGCCTTAGCAGAACATCCCTGGACCTGTTCTACATGGCAATCTTTGTAGTTAAAGTAGGAATGGTACGATAGCCTTAGCAGAACATCACTTCGTAACACAGGGCCCTGTTTCATTGATTATTTATGAATTGGTCAATTCAGTCATTTAAACGTGTACCATAATAAATTCCCTTTGAAAAATACTTAAGGGAAGTGGTTGATGTCTAGTGATTTGTGCCAGTTTAACTCCTTGACAACAGCAGAAATGTAACATGCAACCATCCTGTAAATGTTTGATCTGTTGTCTTGGCCAGGATGAATACATCGTCAGACAGAATGCCCTGTGTGTGTTGGTTCCTTAAAATCAGCCGAAAATGTAATCAGATTCAAAAGTGCATTTACCCCTAAATGGGCTACCCCTATCAGTAGCTTTGTTAGATTAACTCTTATCAAGCTAGTAAAGACCTTTAAAAGTCGCCTACCAAACCATATGCACATATAAAACATTCAAACTTGTAGAAAACCGATACTTTAATCTATAGGAAATGTACAAATCAGGATTATATCTACATAAAATAAAATCTGTTCCTCTGTGTGGGGCCAGGGCGGGCACTACAGGGTAGATAGCATGGCAGATTTCACCAAAGGGTTCCCAACGTCCGTCTGTCTCACTCCACCACCTGGTATCACAACAGTTAGGATTTGGAGTTGCCTCCCTTGAGCATCTAGCGGCCATCTTGGATAATATTGGAGCTCCCCCAGTGAGAATTGTTGCATAAGTGTGACGTTTTGGTGTCCCCCTGGCCCCAAACAGCAGAATCACGTTCCATCTGAGGTAACATTTCATGGGAATATGATACAAGTCAACCCAAGTATATATTCGTTGCCTTAGCCCAGATAAATTAATGATCTAAATGTGTCCCTATATAAATTCCAAATTGATCAATCCAAGATTTGTGATTATATTAATTTGGTGTCTGTACAACGTACCGCGAAGTATGGAACTATTTTGCAAAGAGGGAGGATAACTCTTTGGCAATGTGGTAAACAGTCATGATGTAATGATCTCAATAACAGCCAATATGAACAAAAGCTTCCCTAACCTCTAAACATTAAATCTTCACCACACAAAATAGTAACAAAGTTGCATGAATAAAGGTTCAGAAACTTCCCGTGGCACAGAATGATCCAAGGTCAAGGAGTCTCCAAGGTCACCTGTCCAATAAACATGGCAGTCGTGAGTCAGATCGCAGATGAATGAGACTTGACAGAATTATATAAATCTCTTCTATTTTACACACACTCAAGCCAGGCATCCATGATCATAGGAGAATAGGATAATAATAATTATAATAGTTACAAGTCAGTCCTGTCGTTGCATCATCGCTCATCACATCCGATACAGTGAGAAGGTGTCCCGATTATTCACATAATATCTTCAATACTTGGATGAAGAGTTCACTCGTAGGCACACACTTTACTACTTAACACGAAATCAGAAACATACAAGCTTAGGAGTTCAGGATCTCCTAAACTGTAGGCTAGAAGTATCAACAGAGGGCGCCAACAGCCAAGGTCAAGGCCACAAACTAATTGCACGCTGGGAAAAATGAACATAAACAGCAAAGGAAGAGTACGTATTCCCGACATCCTCCATCACATGATAGCTCTGTACCACCACAGTGAGACCCGGCAACCCGCACTGTTTCTCCATTCGTCCATCGCTGCCGCCATCTGGCTGCACCGCTCTAGCGGTAATCGTAGGGGACGTAAGGCTTGCGTGGAGCTGCCTCAAAGACACCCGGCATAACTGGAAAAGCGGAGGCTGAATTAAGAGCTCCGCCACAAGACTGAACTTGGCTCCAATTCTTCCACATACCCACCTGGAGATGTCCATGTTTCGCAAGCAATACTCACGCATATAAGATAAAAATACCTTCAAGATAAAATTTGAAATGTAGAAGTTCGTAAAATCAAATAGTAAAATCCACAAGAGAACACACATACCATGTTCATGCATAACTACACTTTTGTAACTACGCACTTATACGCGCACTGATACGCGTTCTTTAACTATGAGCTTGCGTCAGTCTGCCGCCAGGCCGAGATTGAAGATGATATGGGTTTCAATCCAACCTGGCGGATTAAATGCACACTTTGCTAAATCATTTGCGGCGCACACAAAGTCAATGCATTCCAGCGCGATCTGCCAAGAGACGGCAGGCTAGAGTGCAAGTACGAGGTTGCTGGTCTCGTGTGGAGTGGACAACACGACCTGTCATGATGGTCTCGAGAGTATCACATCTTGGCGTCAGCCAATCAGAAAAAGCCAGGAAGATCTGAAAGAGGACAAAGAATGACCCATCAGGAAATGACCTTGACCTTTGATTTACACTAAGCGACATGTCAGCAGTGATCAGCAAAAGCATGACACCCTAACTGGCAATGGAGGCCAAAAATATTGCTTATTTTAACATAACACAATCCTGTCATTAACACCAAAGTTCAAATTAGCAAGAGTTATAAAAATTATGTTGAAAGCGTAACTTTGAAGATGTTAACCGTTCTAGGTTTAATTTGATTAAATGCAATACTGCGTAAGGCTATGTATGTATAATAGAGTATTAGTGTGCACCCAGTCCCGAGGGTTAGATGAACTTGTCGTTCACGTAACGTACCTGCTGTTGATGTATCATCCTCGCATCATTCTTGAAAGTGTAAAATACTTAACTACGACACTTCCATATTTAAACCTTATTTGTCTTGAGTGGTATTTTAGAGTGAATCTAAGTTGAAGGACTTGACGCCATGGTCAGCAATATCACAGCATAACCATGGCGACTGGTGTAGCGTGACCCGGTCCGAAGCAGGCCTTGGACAACCAGCCGTGCAAACACAGATCCTCCATGGGTACGAATGTCACACAACTGATCTCCACACTTTCGTGAAAAAGTAATGGCATACTGAACCAAAAAAGTAGAGCATCATGAATATTTTTGGGGACATTTTTTTTTAATACCGAATGCACAATTTCATAAAAATATCAACCAAAATATTCATGATCCAACTTTTTCCGTTCAGTATAGTTCAAACCAATACCATAAAAAAAAAAAATTTAAAAAAGAAAACAAAAAAACTTGTAAATTCCCCCCCCCGAAGTTCTATCAAAGATTGGTGGGGGAACATAGGAAAGATGAGGAGAGCGAAATTGTGACCTGTCCTTAAATATGCCAGTATTCTATATACCGTAAAAATACATTAATTTAAAGATACGTAGGGTGTTCCAAATTTTTGTTTGAATAATATGAGAATGGGGCAAAATGTATCATCAAATTTTTCAATTTTTATTAATTTTAGATTTTCGTCCTTGATATTCAGTCTTCAATTACATAAAAGGACTTAGTCACATCCTGAAAAGCCCGGCAGAGGTAACAGAATTAGCAGGGAAAGACGACTTGAACATGCAGTCTAAATAATCAAAGTAGTAATTAACAGTCAACAAAAAGAAATATATAACATTAAGAATAGAAAGAACAGTTGAAACATTTTCAGAATAAAACTGAGGTCACACAAATATATCAAATATAACAAATATATATACTCTTCCAAACTAGATGACTGGTTTTCAGTACCGAAGGGTTCTATAATCACACAACCATGCAAGATGCCAAACCAATGCCAAATCCACCCCAAAATTAGACAAAGTATCGACAGAAACTGACATGCACTTAGTCTACCGCTTAAAACTTCTAGAAAACAACTTCAAAGTTAATCAACTTCAAAGTTAATGGGCAAAACTAATCATAACCATGATAGACTTATCAAGACAAAGTGTAAAATATAAACTGACATGTCAGATCTGTTTAAAAAAAAAAATGATTGTAAGTATTCAATAAAAATTAAGAAAATGTCTGGAAAATGTGATTTAATAACTAACCTGTGATTTGTGTCTAGATTGTGTTATATTATATTTTGACATGGAAGCAGTCGTAGGAAGCAGTAGCTACAGGTGCAGATGTGCGAATGGAACGGCCAAGTCTTTAGTTGCAAGAGGACAAGGACTTCAGCGGCAGCCGCCGTCTTGGATTGGGCAGCCTGTACGTGGCCGCAGACAGAGCAGTCATGTGGGTTAGTCCATACGTGTTATTGTCTATCATGTGACTTGCATTCACATATCAGGGTTACTTCACAAACGGGTAGGTCAAACGGGTGATTTATTTTGGAATCACTTCCCAAGGCAAATTGCGATCAGCCCAACACAAAAGAAACAACTGCTGGAAGATGGCCGACAAGTGAGAGAGAACCCAAGCAGAGACACAGCAGAAATCGGCACATCTTCCGCAGTTTGTTTCCAATGTTTCGAATCTGATGTCACAACTCAAGAAAAAACACAAAATCAAGCGACCAAAATCAAACGGTTTTTGTGCCACTTAAACTTTTCGTGAAAGTTAAAAAATTTCTCACAACGAGAAAGAGCAAACTCGAACACGTCATGCAGTATCCAGTCAAAAGAATGTCTTTATTTCTGTACAACATGTTATGACAAGGTGGTGTCTTTCCTCATGCAAGAAAGACGGCACGTGAGCGCAATCTAAGGTTTCTACTCAAACAAAGTCACTAGACAGCTGGTTCGAGACTACAAGCGTTGGCTGCGGAGGCAGGTAAACATCCGGCGGCCAGGGCCCCTTAACCTTCAAGTATGGTATCCTAGGTCCTAGCTTGCTATTTACAGTCATAGGCCCGCGTTAAAGCTCGTCTGACAATATATTAAATACTCTGTATGATAGGGTAAATGAGTATTTACAAAATTCATGATTATTTGCATCCAGTGAAATTTGCATTCAATGCCAGGGGATATTGAGTAACCATGGTAACGGAAATAAATAGACGGAAATGCTGGTAATATGGACTGGGTTAGAGAGTAGGACAAGCAGAAACTAGGTCAACTTGAGGTCATTCTTTACTTGCACACATGAGAAATTATTGTCCATGTTGACATTAGAAAAATCTGGTTAATAAATAAACATACAACTTGTACACTCAATGGATAACTGGATCGCATTGTTTGGACAATCATTTCTCACCAAGTGATCTTTGGAAATTTCGACCTGTGTCAGATAATGACTCACCTTATATACTTGTTATCTATTTGTGCCCCAAATGAGTGACAAAATAAAAAGTATTGCATAGCAAGTTTGGTTTTGTAACAGATCTCATCACGTTAAGTGTGCAGTGTCTACTATTATGACTATTGCTGTTGGCACCATCTCCTGACAAGGACCTAAACATCACTGTGTACCACTTAAAACTGTTCAAATACTTCCTGATAAATCCATTTTATGGTAGCAGTAAAAACACACCTACACAGCAAAAATAGTTTAATTCTAAATACTTATCAATTACTAATTACCACTGTTAGTCTGCCATAACTGAAGGAGGCCAAAGTTTGGAAAGATATTTGAAAGAAAAGGATGAAATCCCCGTACCAGTGTTATACATGATGTGTCATAACCATGGTAACCATCTAGACAACATTACATTCATCCCTGCCACAGCCTTCAAGTCTCAATGATGATAAATCAAGCAGTTGAATAACATGAACATTGCCAAGTCTAGAATTCCCTAAAATATATCCAACATCTAACAATGACGAGTATGAAAAGCCTTTTTGTGAAATGATCAAAATGGATAATAAATACTTCAGAAATATTTTTGAAAATGGAACATGGCTGATGAAAACTTACAAAATTGATCATTAATTTTTGGTGTTATTTCTTATAAATGATTGTTGATTTTCTTTTGAAAATATTCTAAAATGATTCAATGGGTGGAAACTTGTCGGATATATCATCATCAGAGCTCCTAAATTGAAGAAGTGGTCAGAGATTTGCTGCCCCAACCAAGTTGTATAATGGGTAGACATGAAATGTGGACACTTCGGAAATACAGAAATAAAGATCTTTACATTTAACGATCACAGATGTATATTTGTTGAATGAGAATGTTTATGAACATATTGCAAACAGATGAGACTTATGACAATGACGAACAAAACAGACCATTCTCACGTTCACTAAGAAACACACCAATCTCTACACATCTTGGTTAGAGCAAATAAACGCTTTAAAAAATCACAATCTCTACCCAGAATTCATTTGTACAAATTGGTCATAACAAGTACCAAGAAGTTAACAGTACACTGTACAGTCTTTCTCAAAGAATAATTTACATACAAGAGTAAAATCAACTAAAAAACGCCATTCCTTCCACACCACGCAGACTTAGGCATGGCTATGCGTGATGCCTCACGATGTCACTGTGTGCGGCGAGGGAGCACGGCAGCCATTCAGATCATTATACTATATTCCTACCACACTCCAACAAAAACACAGCTCTACAGTCGGGGCATGCAATGATACGACCCTGTGAAACCATTTTACCCGATTTCTCATCGTCTTTCATTAATGATTTATATTTTGCATATGGAATGTACGTGATGTTTCCAGACGATGCTCAAATATGCTTTCTAATTGAGTCAAAGCATATGAAGGTTTCAATTTCAAATATATATCTGTGAATGGTATTTTTATTATTAACTGTATCGAGACATGCCCCTAATGTACAACTCCTTGAAACACAGTTACCATCAACTAGACAAAGATGAAATGTTTAAAACACAGTATTGTAATAAAATGGGATTACGTCAAATGACGAAGTAAATTTTTGAAAATATACCCCGCCAGTTATTCCCCTTGTTGTTATGGTAACTGCATTTGGGTCTCAACCAATCAAACAGCAGGGAGAGAACACAGTGTTACAGAGTTGTTCGAGCTTGGAACAAGGGTGGGTAGGAAGCAAACCCCAGGTAAACAATAGCATTCAGGGTGGGCGGGCGAATCACACTACGCCCCACCTCACGACGGGCACATCTCACACCACGCCCCTCGGTAGATCTGCTAACACAGTCATCATAATGGACAGATGATTACGAGTCCAATATAAATAGCCCACATTAGAATTGGCGCATACAGGTCAAATAGGAAGTTTTTACCATCAGCGAATTTTCTGGCGACGAACTTGAGTGTTTCATCCAGTAGGATGACGGGTATAGATATCTTCATAACTGCAACCCACTCCTCAACGTTAAGTGGTGTGATCTGGAAAATCACCTGTGGAGGAAAGAGTGAGTGAGTGAGTGAGTTTTGTTTCAAACTACCAGCATATCATGGTGGGTCAGTTGTTTGTTTGTTGTTTAAAGCCGCACTCAGCAATATTCCAGCTATATGACGGCGGTCTGTAAAATAATCGAGTCTGGCCCAGACAATCCAGTGATTGACATCATGAGCATCGATCCACACAATTGGGATCGATGACATGTATAAACCAAGTCAGCGAGCCTGACCACCCGATCCCGTTAGTCGCCTCTTACGACAAGCATAGTCCCCTTTTACGGCAAGTATGGGTTGCTGAAGACTTATTCTACCCCGGAATCTTCACGGGTTGGTGGGTCAGTTGAATGCACTCAGCAATATTCCAGCTGTATGAATATTGTCTGTAAATATTTGAGCCTGGAGAAGACAATCCAGTGATTGACATCAAGAGCATCGACATATAAATTTGGGATATGATGACATGCATCAACCAAGTCAGCGAGCTCGCTTCATACAAAATCTTGACCAGACAAACCAGCCTAATAGGTTAAGAATGAGTGAGTGCATGTTGTTTAGTGCTGCATTGAGCAATATTCCAGCCATATGACTGCAGCATGAACTATATAACAATGCCCACACCAGGCACACCAGTGGTCAATCGTATGACCACCATTAGCTTACAATGATACAATCAGCCAGCCAATCTCAGCCTCCCATTCTGATACACTTAACAACCATTGCCAAACACTTTGTACCAATGCAGGGAATCTAACCAGGGTCTTCAGCGTGACAAACAAACGCATTAACCACTAGCATGTCAAAGAGTAAGTATGGTTTAATGGTGCTTTTAGCAATATTCCAGCAATATCATGGCAGGGAACACCAGAAATGGGCTTCACACATTGTACCCATGTGGGAAATCGAACCAGGGGCCTTCTGCTTGAAGAGCGATGCTTTAACCACAAGGCTACCCCACCGCCCCATTGCCAAACGACTTACTTCTTGGTTATCTGTTGCCAACGAAAAAGGCAAGAGATAACTAACATGTCAAAGGGAGATAACTAACATGTCAAAGGGAGGTAACTAACATGTCAAAGGGAGATAACTAGCATGTCAAAGGGAGATAATTAACATGTCAAAGGGAGGTAACTGCTTACCGACATGAAGTCGACATAGAGGATGAAGAAGTGCAAGAACATGGAGAGTCCGATGGCGAACATGAGCCACTTGTTGGACCATGGAGGCATGACCACGAGGGACTGGTTCTCACTCAAGCTGAAAAATCATGGGCGGGTTAGACATGGAAGCACCACCGGCAGTCACAATCTCGTACACAAACCTTGCACCAGCGTACATGTTTTACCACTCTGTATTAGCTGTAAAAAGTACCTAAAACATCTGATTTTGTTCGTTGTATAATGTCGCTCTTGTCAATACTTCAGCTATATGATGGTCTGTAAATAATCGAGACTGGACCAGGCAATCCAGTGACTTACGTCATGACATCGATCTACACAAATGGGATACGATCACGTGCATCAACCAAGTTAGCAAGCCTGAGCACCTGATCCCGTTATTCGCCTCTTACGGCAAGCATGGGTTGCTGAAGACCAATTCTAACCCGGATCTTCACGGGTCACAATTGTCAAGATATTTTTAGTCAAAGGTGTGGTCCTTAACAATGTGGAGAAGTAGAAACTGCAGCTGTGACGGGTACAGGGTTGAATAAGAGATTGTAAACTGTGCAAAAAAAGACAAATATGAACTAATATAACTAGCATAAAGCTTAACATTAAATTTAATTTATTGATGCATACATTAAAATCTGGAACTATGGAATTATGTTTATAAAAAAATAAATAAATTTGCTACAAAGAAGGTAAACCAAGAAAAATGTCTTAGTACATCTGCTGTGATCTGTGTGTGACTAGACAATTCCTGCCTGGATTCCCATGAATAAACCTAGCAAATCTCAAAAGGAAGACAATCAGATTCAATTTTTTTTTATAAAAATATAATTTATTAAAAATATAATTTATAAAAAATATAATTTATAAAAAGATAATTTATAAAAATAATGAATAAAAATAATCAATAAAAATAATTTATAAAAATAATAATCAGCCATCGATTACTGTGTCTAACAGAACCTGAACATCTTGCTGCGTCAGCATTCTTGCAGCGAGAACATTACACCATTACTACCAAAGAGAGGGTGTCCTAAGTTGGATAACTTGTTTCTAATCCTTTTCCATTTGTGTATGAAATATTACAAACTAAACATTATGACTGGCAAGGCAGGGTACAAACAAAAAAGATTTCAAAATTGTGTGTGATTATGAAAAAGGGTACCAAGGAAACCCCTACATCAATTTACATTTTAATAAATAAGATTCAAAGGTATATTTCCAAATATAACTCTATTGACATTTCCTGAAGTTGTAATGGGAAAATATCATAGGTTTTGGATATTTCTTAACTGAATAATAAAGCTGAATGATTAGTTAATTGGGAATCCAGGTAATCGCAGGTAATCGCAGGTAAACAACCTTGAACTTCACATCTGAAGTAATCACAAGTGATGTTATGCAAACAGGCTATTCTATGTGGAGCTAAATGTTAATAATAGTCACACAAGTATATATTGTCATGTACACAAACTGTTACACAAATAAGATTTCGCAAAGCAAAATGCAATCATGAATGTCACTCAATAGCGCTGCATAAAGTCCATGGACGATAGCAAGACATTACTAGAGTGTTAATTGAAAAAAGCTTAAAAGTTTATTATAAGTAAAATAAGTTAATTTCGACATTTTTTCAGCAAGTACTAACTACAAGCTTTGAGTTTTGATTCAATGGTTTGAAAACCAATTAAGAACAGTACATCAAGAAAATAGTCCCAAACATCTTCCAAAATGTATCTACAAGCAAAATAGTCTTTTCCAAATGCAAAGTCAATGAGGCATTTTGGAACGGTTTACTACAAGTGTTCCTAAACATTAGTTCTACAATAAATCTAAAAGCTAAAAGCAATATCTAAAAACATAAATATCAAAACAGGTCATTTCCCACTGAAGTCAAAACATTTTGGGGGTCATAAATTTGGTAAAAATGCAAAGAAATGAACTTCAAATTAAATTTAGAAATAAAAGAATATGTTCAGTAGTTAAATGACTGTTTTGAACTATGAAGCTAGTCGCTGCTGGATGCGTGCGTGTAAGCATCAAGTTACACTGAAACAAAGAATGCACTGCAAACATACATGTCCGAGTCTACATCAGTTTCTACAAAAAAACACCACACACCCTTCATGGTATCACTAATTAGTCTACACAGCAAATACATTGTCAGTAATCATACATATGAGAATCTAACATTTAATCATTGCAAGGTTAAATCACTTCAATACATGAATCTCTAACAAAGCCGTTCTCACCCGGTTTCTCCATTCAAATCATTATCTCTGTCAATTCATTTATGTAATGCATTACAAATCAAAACTGATAATAGATTATTCAATACCATTTACAAAAGCATGCTTTTTGAAAAATTCAGTGAAATTGTTTGAAAGCAGAGAGAATGAATGTGAATAATTATTAGTCAGGGTTCGAAACTAAGACAAAAAATTTGTGCTGAAGTTGAACTCAAAACTGATAAATAGTCTACAGTTATATTTATTTCAGCTCTGATTCCATAGTATATTCATTAAAATAGTTCTTAGTTTCGCTCCCTGTGCTTTTATCATGAAGGCATATCATTATCCGTACATCAACACTCTGCAACCAAACTCAGGATGATGTTGCCATGACGATGACGACGGCGGCAATGGTGGGTCAAGGCAAGAGGCTGAGTTGGGCAAGCCACAATGCATGCAGGAAGTTTCCAACACACAACAACCTTGTACCACAAAGGGGGGGCTGTCTGGACCAAAACATTTCCAAGAGATCACAACGTGTGATCATGGCGTTCAGACAGAGAACGGTTTCCTACAAATTACGTCCCTTGTTTACAAAATCAGAATCGCTTGTTAGAAGTTTGAGTCTGGTAGCTGGAAATTTGGTTGAATCTAAAGTCCAGTAGCTCCCCCCTGGCGTACAGTTAGGTTCCATTAATGATATCCATGCAGATTGGAAGCCAAGTCGGAACGTCACTTAACCACAGTCATGATCAACCATCCTCTACGTTGTGACCTCTTCAGATGTGATTGACATTCTACAACCTCCCCCATTGTGAACAAAAAGGTTGTCACACGTGACGAGCAAGGCAAACTTCCTGCGCTACACCGATACCGATCCGAGGACCGGCGAGCTGGCCTCTGTCAGCCCCTTACCTGTTGAGAGCGTTCAGCATCTCAATCACCACCAGCGTTGAGAGGGCCATCGTCATCGGCTTAGGGTGACCGAACACCTCGCAGTCAATACCGGCAAACATCTCATCCTGAGCCAAGCACTGAGCTTGGTGGGTCTGCAGAGTGAGAAGTGATTAGCAAAGGAAAAGCGAAATGTTTAGTCAGAACCGAGTGAGTCAGCTGTTGTGGGAGCACCACCAGGAACAACCTAGGTTGGATAGACAGATGAGTTAGGCATGCGGGCAAGCGGCGACGCAGATGGCTCGAGGCCAGTCTGAGTTTTCTCCTGCATGAGAAGGTAGCGTGCGGGCAGGCGAGGCAAGCGAGCGTTGAGCAGTTTGTAGTAGGTTTTACAGATGGCATTCGCCATCATCCCACCACCAGGAGTGTGAGTAATGAAATACGAGATGCCAGTAGATGCAACAATTGCATAATCAGCAAAAGATTATTTTTTTATTAAAACATGAAAAAAAAAATATGAATAAAATTATAATAAAAAAACCCCTCCCTTTATCCCAGAAAAATTATCACTTTAATTTTGTACTGCTTACTGGCAACTTGTCAAATGTAATGAGGTGATAAGGTTTTCCTAACTGCTGATTATTAATTGACAAGGACTTTACCTGTTCAATGCATTAAGCATCTCAATTGTGACTAATACTGATAGAGCCATAGTCATTGGATGAGGATCGTTAAATACATTGCAGTCTACGCCCGGGAACATCCTGGGCTCGGCGGGGCACTGCATGTGATGTGTCTGCAATACGCAGGTGAAGGCGTCATCATGGAGTCAGGAAGTACAACACAGCTTATCGATCACACATGTTAATGTAGGCAGTTATTGGGGAACAGATTGGATATACATTTACAGCCAAACAAATTCATTACAAAAGAATTGAAAATTATAAATACTAGGTGCAACTATTGATAATTGCCTAAAAAACTTGAGCTTAGTAAGTTTCTATTATTAGTTAGAGGGAATTTTTCTGGTTAAAAGGCTGAACTGAAAAGCAACGTGTCAATAATGCATGGAGAAAAACAAGATATTATACATTCCCGGAATGTATTACCAGTAAAATGTCACAAATATTCAAAGTGGGTGAGTGACTTTGGTTTCATGCCGCTCTTAGCAATATTCCAGCAATACTACGGCAGGGGACACCAGAAATGGGTTTCACACATTGTACCCATGTGGGGAATCAAACCCGTGTTGTCGGCGTGACAAGCGGACGCTTTAACCACAAAGCTAGCCAACCACCCCATACCAATCTTTTGAACCCAATTGCTTATTGCACTCGGAATTACAATGATTATCATGACCAGCTACATTGCAGTCACCTCAACCTTGTGGTCGATAGCATGAGCAACGATCCAGTATCAGGTACGGTGCCACAAAATCAGCCAGGTCAATCATTGTGAAAGCCCAGAGTTCAATGTTAAATTATCTCCAATGACAACCATGGAGTACTGGTTTCTATATTACCCTCATCTCCAACACAGGAATACAACTTTCAAACGGATTCTGAATCAATAATTTAAAACAACAAATTATTCCTGAAGCAAAACTTCAAAGGTAATTCTCAAGGTTTGTTGGAGACAATGCACCTCTTTTAATGCACCTCTGAAACAAATTGCAGTAAAAAGTGCATGTCAGCAGTGAGGTCAGAGGTGAGATGTTCAAGATTATTGCACTCATATAGTGACATCCATGCATGTGAGAATGTGGCTCTTGTAATTTTCCAGGACCAATGCTGGTTTAACAGTGCTAGCCCATTGAGATACAATGCTGTAGTTTATCATCGATACTCCACTGACTCCGTGCCGACCAGTCCTTGTTTTAGCCCCTTAATGGTGAATGCCAGGCAGGGTAACAAGAAGTACCATCTTTTAACGTCTTTTGGTAAGACGCAGACGGGGGATTGAACCATCAACCTCTCGTTCTCAGGGTAGACTCTACCACTAGACCACGGAGGTGGTCCTGTCATGTGGGATCTGTTTGTTGTTTAACGCCACACTCAGCAATATTCCAGCTATATGATGGCGGTCAGAAATGGACCAGAAAATCCAGTGAAAGCCTGACATGACAAACGTCAAAGGCATTTACAACTTTATGTTTACTCATGTTTTGGTGCCAACGAACCAATGATCATAATTGGGGGAATCTTTGGCTCAAACCCACAACTAGCGGATCCTGATTGGCAAAGGGAGACGAGTGTACAACTGGAGACAGTTGCAGGTTTTTATCGTATCTCAGAAAGAAACTGTTGTACTGCCAGCTTCGTGAGTGTGGGACTGCCGCAGTGTTTTTACCAGTTGGTAGTAGTTGAGTCCGGGGCCCTTGTCGTACAGCATGAACCACCAGGCAGCGGCACCAACAGTCGCACAACCAACGTAGACTGAAACACACCAGGGCAACATCACGTGGGGGGCAATTCTAACCAATTATTATACCTGAATATGTGAGTGAGTGAGTTGGGTTTAACGCCGCTTTTAACAGTATTCCAGTTATATCACGGCGTGTCAGCTTAATGTGGGAGGAAAGCCCGAAGTGATGCAGGTATCAGACGTTTACCACTTCGGTGAAACCCACGAGCACGGGTATTGTGCTGACAAACCTAGAAACAATTGGGGCTAACCGGGATTCGAACCCACAATCATAGGTTTCTGGCGTGCCAAAGTGACGCAACTCTGCACAGTGAATCGGGGCGCCTTAGACGACTGGGCCACCCGTGCCCCCATACCTGAATATGTAAAACTCCTTTGTATATGGACAAAAGGCCTTTAATACTATACACAGCTCGTCTTGTCCAGATCTTCACAGGTATGAACCCAAATACTTCAAGTATGAATTGTTCATGTATATATTTATAGAACAAAGAATTCTTGTGAAACCATACTAGTTTTAGGTACAGTAGCAGGGACAAAGGGAAAGACCAGCCATATTGTTCTTGCAACTGTTCCGAAAGGTGTGTGTAATTGGGACACTCACTTCCAATAGCCATGTAGCGGAAGAACAGCCAGCCAGTGATGAGGCCTTCCTTGGGGTTCCTGGGGGGTCTCTTCATGATGTCCAAGTCTGGGGGGTTGAATCCGAGGGCGGTGGCGGGGAAACCGTCAGTCACCAAGTTGACCCACAGCAGCTGTACGGGGATCAGAGCCTCGGGGATACCCAGAGCAGCAGTCAAGAAGATGCTGGAAGGAAGGGGAGAGTAAGTGAGTGAGTGAGTTCATTACAACAGTCCTTACATATCATCCAGACATTTGTTGTTTAATGCCGCACTCAGCAATATTCCAGCTGTATGATGGCATTCTGTATACAATCAACCATAGGGTTGAGTGAATATGGTTTTACACAGCTTTCAGCAATATTCCAGCAACATCACCGTGGGGGGTGGGGGGGGGGACACATTGTACCCATGTGGGGAATCGACCTGGGTTTTTGGCATGACAAGCCAATGCTTTAACCACTAGGCTACCCCACTGCCCCCAATGAACTATAGACCAGACAAACCAGTGACTGATATTATGAGGAACAATCCATGCTGTTGGGGTATGCTGACACGATCAACCAAGTCAGCAAGCCTGACCACCCGATCTATTAAGTTGCCTCTTACAACCAGCATAGGTTGTTACGTAGACAAAATGAGAGTTTGACTAACCAGACCACTTCACCAATGTTGGACGAGATGAGGTAACGGATGAACTGCTTCATGTTGTTGTAGATGGCGCGACCTTCCTCAACTGCAGCCACAATGGTCGAAAAGTTGTCATCAGCCAGCACCATCTGTGGGACTTCATTAAGGACAAATAGCATCTCGACCAGCAGGTCAACTAGAAGAAGCTTTTAGAGGTGTGTTTGTTCTTTAAGTTAGTGAGTGATTTGGGTTGAACGCCGCTTTTAACAGTATTCCAGTTATATCACGGCGTTTCAGCTTAATGTGGGAGGAAAGCCCGAAGTGATGCAGGTCTCGGACATTTGCCACTTTAGTGAAACCCACGAGCACGGGTATGGTGCTGACAAACCTAGAAACATAATCAGGGCGAACCGGGATTCAAACCCACAATCATAGGTTTCTGGCGTGCCCAAGGGACTCAACTCTGCACAGCGAATCGCGGCGCCTTAGACGAAAGGGCCACCCATGCCCCCCTTTTAGAGGTGTGTTTGTTCTTTAATGCTGTACTCGGCAACATTCAAGCTTATTGGACCAGACAATCCAGTGATCAGTTGTCAGCAGTGATCAAAGCTGTCGGTGTGAAAGCTGACAACCTGACCCAGGGTTCGCCCTGACGCAGAAAACCTGCGTATTTGACGCATAAATAATTGAAAATACGCTAAAAATATTTTCTACTGCGTCAGTGTTGACGCAATGAAACAGCCATTACAATTAGTAAACTGAGACCTTTCCGTTTGTCAGAAAGAAAATACAGTGATCCCTCGTTACAACGCTACCTTCGGGGTCCAAATAATTGATGAGCGTTATAGATGATCAGCGGTTAACTCTTTCAACACCGTAGGCCGGTTTTAGGCCAAGAAACATGAGTCCCCAGACACCGTAAGCGGGTCAACCGGCTAAGCCGTAGTCACGTCAAAATAGTATATATTTTTATGGACCTACCTGTAATATCATTCATTTATTAAATCTATCACATTTCACAATGTCTGAAATACGTATTCCATTTCAATTTATAATTTTTTATCGATAAATTAAAAAAATATTCACTATTTCCCCGCGATGTTGTTGAAAATAAAATTCTCGGACACACATTTCGACAACGGGTCCACATCGAACATGTCAAAGAGCAAAATAAAGGCGTGTTAAACAAATCTTTAAATATATTATACAAAGTAATAAATAAAATCAACAAAAATATATCTAAAAGTAATCAAGCTTACATCTAAGTTATTATTTCCATCTTTTTGTGCGATCGCGTGTAATATAAGACATCTCAGCTTTCGTCGCCTTGAATTCTCGGCTCGGACACGATGTTTAATGCAAAAATATATGCGTGAAAAATCTTTGTCACAGCTCGTAACCTAGCACGATACATTCACGAAGTTCCATATTTTTAATATGTATCGTGATTTCCTGCTTAAAACGTTCAGAATAACGATTTAACAAAAACCTTTCGCCAACTTCTGAAATTTATCAAACACGAGCTTGGTATCACAGCTGTAATTTGATTGGCTGCCTTAGGTCACGTGCTCAAAATTGACCAATCGCGAAACTTGCAGCAGATTTCGGCAAGAAAGCGTCATTGGAAATCAATTTTATTCCAATGAAATCACTTGTTATAAATACGAAAAAAACCAGCCGATGTTACGAGCGTGTAGATAAAGGAATAAGCTTTCTAGCGATGTGTCATTTGCCATTCTTCGACGAACGTGTTATTCATACGAAGCCTCGAAAACGGGGGTATTTCTTCTTGTTACTGAGCGGACAGCCGCTGTTATCGGGAAATGGGTAGAATTCTTTTTAAAATGATTTTCCAATTACGTAAACAATGAAAATAAAACAGAAATAGGTAAGTGGATTTTATGAAATCTTATATTTGCCGAAAATCGTCAAGTTTTCGCTTCCTTGGTCCTTAATCTGGATGTTAACAACGTATTAGCTTACATTTTTTATTTACAACGAACTTAATTAAGTTGTAAATGCATTATTTTATATAATGTGAAAAACATAACTTTCATATTTATAAACCATAGGATCAGACCTTTCAAATGGTGTATAACAAGTAGTGGCAAATATATTTTACAAGCAGGTATTTTCTTTGATAAATGTTGGCTTCATCTATCACACAAGAGTCTCTGGGAACTCGGTGTCCCAGCAGTAAACACTTCTGTTTGACTGGTGTTGAAAGAGTTAACGAAGGTCGAGTCGCAGGTGGTAGACGACCAACACAACAGTATACATGCTCTGCCTAGTACCTATCACGATCTACGTTGCACTTTTCACAGTTTCCAAAAAGATTAGAATAGAAGTTATTTATGATTCATAATGTAAAAAAAGATTTATCGAGTATTAGGCCCAATATACTTGACTTTGTGAATCAAAGATATTTATGTTACAGTTAAAATAATGAAGAATATAAAAAGTTAAAATCTTACCTTGTTTATGTTTACTTAATTTTTCATCCTGATAGCGAGATTCTGAGATTAGTTATATGACTCCCAAAAATTGATGAATGACTCCTAATCTGAAAAGTTGGGGGTCATAATGACTCCCAATTTTTAATGTCTAGGGCAAACCCTGCTGACCTGGCACAGGTTGCTGGGGGCTAATTCTGACCCGAAATCTCCATGGGGCAATGGAATGTCTGTTTCTTTAACGCCACACTCGGCAATATTCCAGCTATATGACGGCGGTCTGTAAAAAAATCGAGTCTGGACCAGACAATCCAGGGATTGATATCACGGGCATCGATCCTTGCAATTGGATACGATGACATGCATCAACCAAGTCAGCGAGGCTGACCACCCAATCCCGGTAGTCGCCTATTACAAGCATAGTCGCCTTTTACAGCAAGTATGGGCTGCTGAAGACCTATTCTACCCCGGATCTTCATGGGTTCACAAAGGAATGAGTGAGGGGAGAATGGTTTTATGTCATTTGTAGCAATACCACACCAGGGGACGTGTTATGTTTCACAAGCGTAACTCATGATGGGAGTCAAACCCAGGACTTTTACGACTGGTCAACCCACTGACCCTGACAAGATGAAGTCGTCTGCATGATACAAACGATGCTGATGTTGACAAAACAAAAGGATATCAGAAGCACTCTTTGCGACAGCAGTTCCAGAACCCATGGCAATACCAATCTCAGCTTTCTTCAGAGCAGGAGCATCATTCACACCATCACCAGTCTGAAGGAAACAGAGGAACAATCATCACTACAGGCTGCAGCCAAATCAAAACCTTTACCATATCTTCAACTACCAGGTTTATTTTTTAAACTAGAGTATAGACATGGGTATTCTTGTTATTACAGGAGACAAGGGAGAGGACACAAGATGGGCTTCACATGTTGGATCTTCATCAAGATGAGCAAACACTTTATCCACTTGGCTCACTTACACTTAACAGATTTAATTCAAATACTGTGTAATTAATAATTGTAACTTGTAAGCAATGTCTTGGTATCACAAATAAAAATAATACAGTATCTCGTCTCATCTCAAATTCACACTTGTCTTTGAAAACCACATTGACAAAAACATCACAATGAAAAGGAGATAACTACTAACCATAGCCGAGATTTCTCCCTCTCCTTGCAAGTACTCTATGATCTTGGACTTGTGAGCAGGTTCAACACGGGCGAAAAGACGAGCTCTCATGACAGCAGCTCTCTGGTCTTCAGGGGCGAGGTCATCAAACTCACGGCCAGTGAAGGACAATCCCTCTGTCGATTCATTCTCCTTGAACACTCCGATTCTGCGGCAGATAGCTTCAGCAGTAGCCTGAAGAAAGAAACAAACTGTCAGACTGCGTCCTGGGTTCCTAGAGCAGAATCCACTTTAATTTTGAAGCAAAAAATTATACAAATGTGGAAATACAAATTACAAGCGCAGTTTTTCTGTTCTGATAAACTTTGATAACATTTGTTTGTTGTATAATGTGGCATTCAGCAATATTCCAGCTATACGACGGCGGTCTATCAATAATTGAGTCTGGACCAGCCAATCCAGTGATTGACGTCATGAGCACTGATCTACATAAGTGGGATACAATGACATGCAACGTGAGCAAGCCTGACCAAATGATCCCATTAGTCACCTCTTACAAGCATGGGTCTCTGACAACCAATTTCAACCCCGATCTTCACAAGTCTAAAGTAGAATGACACGAGTGAATATTGTTTTACGCTGATCAGAAGTATGTCAGCCATTGCAGATCGAGACGAAAAAGATGTTATATCATAACAAAGTCGAAACAAAGAATCCTAAATCAAGGCGAATCTTACGTCAGCAAAATGATTTGCCTTAGACCACGAGCAGCCCCTAGGGGAGAGGTCTTGTTTGCTGTCTGATGCCAGTGATCAATCCATGCCATCAGGGCACGATGGAGTGTAATCGTGTAATTGCCTCTCATGACCACATTAGGACTTCTAGTGAGTGAGTGAGTGAGTGAGTGAGTGAGTGAGTATGGTTTTACGCCGCTTTTAGCAATATTCCAGCAATATCACAGTGGAGGACACCAGAAATGGGCATCACACATTGTACCCATGTCGGGAATTGAACCCGGGTCTTCGGCGTGACGAGCAAACACATTAACCACCAGGCTACCCGACCGCCCCCATTAGGACGTCTAACCTGGACTCCCCACAGGGAGAAACGGCATGAACCATACTTCATCCTTACCTTGTTGTCGCCGGTGATGACGATGACACGGATACCAGCGTTACGGCAGTCGTTGATCGAGGTGAGTACCTCAGTACGAGGGGGGTCCAACATACCAACAATACCAACGAAGGTCATGTTTGTCTGAAACAGGAATTACTCAATGAATATCTATATTTCTAATCAAAGTTAAATCAGTAGTTGTTTTGTGAAGTGATACAAAAGCACCTCATACCTAAGATTTTCAAATTATGACTAATAGAAATCAAGTTTGTTTGTTGTTTAACGCCACTGTACATAATCAAGTCTGGTCCAGACAATCCAGTGATTGACATCATGAGCATTGCTCTACGCAATTGGGATACGATAATATGCATCAAAGAAGTCAGCGAGCCTAACTAAACTTTTCTATTGGTCGCCTCTTACGACAAACTTGGGTTACTGAAGATCTATTCTAATCCAGATCTTCAATGGGATTTCAAATAATGCATTGAACAGAAATCATGTAAAGGATCTGCAAAACATGATACATCATCAGTGTGACAATATTTGTGCTAGAGAGAGCTAATACCCTGCAGTCAGCAATATTCCAGCCATATCAATGCGAGCTGTAAATGATTGATTCTGGACAACGCAGTCCAATGACTGACAGCATGAGCAACGTAAAACAAAAGGTATGACACATTCAGCCGGGTCACAAAGCCTGCTCACAAGAGATTAACGTGGATATATATATATATATATATATATATTTATACTATTTGTGAACTACACAGGTATTGGCTGACCTCATACTGGATGAACTTGCGGGAGTCTTCCAGGTCCATGTCCTCGCGGCGGGGTGGGTTGTCGATGGTGGCCAGGGCCAGGCAACGCAGCGTGTCCCGTCCTGCAACACACACACACACACACACGTCACCTTCTACAGGTTTAGGGAACACCAGGATTAACACCACTACTTGTTCAGGTAGCGATAAGATTCAGGCCCCGTCTACAAAAGGATCATGGCACTATAATTGTCTTAAGTCTATGTTAAGGTATGGAGTTACGATCGTCTTAGCGCTATGATGGCTTTGTGGAACAAGGTAGCTATTCACCGACACATAGTACAAAGACTTCCAAAAAAAGATTCAAACCCAGGAATACGTTTTGTTTGTTTGTTTGTTTTACGCCGGACTCGGCAATATATCAGCTATATAAAGACGGTCTGTAAATAATCGAGTCTGGACCAGACAATCCAGTGGTTGACATCATGAGCATCGATCCACCCAATTGCAATGATGGCTTGCATCAACCAAGTCAGCGAGCCTGACCACCCGATCCCGTTAGTCGCCTCTTCTCAAAAACAATTCCAACCCGGATCCCCAGGAATATGAGATGGACAAACACTCTACCTACTGAAGTACCTCAATGGCTGTACAACTTACAGAGGAATATAATTTGAGAATTGTTGAAACAGTACTCTGGTCTTATTTCTCGTTATCTTGGAGTGACGTACCTGTTCCGTAGGCCTTCGTGTGCTTCAGGATCTCGCTCTTGATGGCGGAGGACATGGGGACCTTGTTTCCTCCGACACGGACATGGGTACAGCGGTCAAGCAGACCCTCGGGTGCTCCCTGAAACAGGAAATCATCTTGTCAACATCCTGCCAAAATTCATTATATTGTCATCATCTCTACCCTATTGTTGTCAGGATCTTGATAATACTTGTATAAAAACAAACGTTGTGTAAGAATAATATTGTTCATATTTATGATGCCCCAAATCCACACCCTAAAGCATGCTGAAACTGCTACATTATACCCATGTCAATTGATCAGTGTCCACCCTATTTTCATTCTCAACTCCCTGGGGAGTATGCAACCCCCATCCCCCCACCGAAGATAACGAGCACCTCACCTTGCAGAACATGCGAGTGCCTCCTGGTTGCCTTGTCGGCTTGTTGGGGACGCAGTACACAGCTACATTATACCCATGTCAATTGATCAATGTCCACCCTATTTTCATTCTCAACTCCCTGGGGAGTATGCAACACCCCCCACACCGAAGATAACGAGCACCTCACCTTGCAGAACATGCGAGTGCCTCCTGGTTGCCTTGTTGGCTTGTTGGGGACGCAGTACACAGCTACATTATACCCATGACAATTAATCAATGTCCACCCTTCTTTTCATTCTCAACTCCCTGGGGAGCACCTCACCTTGCAGAACATGCGAGTGCCTCCTGGTTGCCTGGTGGGCTTGTTGGGGACGCAGTACACAGCTACATTATACCCATGACAATTAATCAATGTCCACCCTTCTTTTCATTCTCAACTCCCTGGGGAGCACCTCACCTTGCAGAACATGCGAGTGCCTCCTGGTTGCCTGGTGGGCTTGTTGGGGACGCAGTACACACTCATGGACTTGCGGTCCCGTGAGAACTCCAGGGTGAACTCCTTCTTCCACATGTTCTGGATGACCTGGTTGCAGGCGACGCCAGCCTCACGCTTGTTGAGTCCGGACTTGTCGGTGTTGTAGACGTTCATCTTCTCTGTGAGCACGGTCAGGGCGGTCTCCGTGGCCTCGCCTACCTTCTCATACTGGTTCTTGGCCTGCAAGGCAACATCAGCGTGTGAGAGAGTAGTGCTTGTGAGAAATGTCTTTGATTCATGGAAGGGAACATGACATCATTTTGAATTTTGTGCTCACTGCACACTCCAGCATGAACAAGAGTGATCTAAGAGTGAGTGAGTGAGTTGGGGTTAACGCCGCTTTTAACAGTATTCCAGTAATATCACGGCGTGTCAGCTTAATGTGGGATGAAAGCCCGAATGGATGCAGGTTTCAGACATTTACCACTTCGGTGAAACCCACGAGCACGGGTATGGTGCTGACAAACCTAGAAACATAATCGGGGTGAACCGGGATTCGAACCCAAAATCATAGGTTTCCGGCGTGCCTAAGGGACGCAACTCTGCACAGCGAATTCAGGCGCCTTAGACGACTGGGCCACCCGTGCCACCAGTGATCTAAGACATACGAGTAGAGTAAATGCTGTTTAACGCTGCAGTGTTCCAGATGTATGATCACAGCCTGTAAATATTATATGGTCAAGATGGTTTTGCATTTATGTCAATGCTTGGGAACTTGGCAATCCCCCCACATAAACTGTATTTAAAAACTTATCTTTAGACAAGGCTAAAGGTTCGTCTTCAAACAGGCACACTTAACATGTGTCAGAGCAGTTCTTTCCTTAGAGTCTTTGAGTAGTTATAATTAACTAGACAAGTGCTCTACAAATAATAATAATAATAATAATAATAATAATAATGATAATAATAATAATGATAATAATAATAATAATAATAATAATTCTTACATCATTGTAGTCGACGCTGGAGTCGTTGCACATGCCGCAGATGGTGGCCATCTCCTCCAGGCCGGGGTAGTCGGAGGTGCGGATCTTCTTGGACTGGAAGAACCTAGAACATCACAAACAGCAATCATCAGAAACACCCCACGCATCGGAAACACCCCACACAACATCAGAAACACCCTACACATTTGAAACACCTCACAGAGCATCAGCACTGAGAAAGAGATTTTATGAGTGCTTCCAGTATGGCTGATTTTGCACTGAAATGAAAATGTGTGGTCTGGATGCTACATTTCCCAGGAGACACCCAGCTCAAGTTGGGTTTCATCCATGCATGTAGACGACACCGTGACTCAGATCTATCGAGTCCAAAGCTGACTGATAACTGCCTTTATGAGAATGAGAAGTAGGAGTCCACGTACACTTCACCCTCAGGGGCATATGTTGATCCGGTGATCTCGAACTGGGAAGTCTGGATATCGTTGCCTTCTACCTTGCTGAACACAAACATCTGAAACACAGACATTGTCACATGAAGTCCATTAGTCAGACTAAAAGAACATGCGGTCTAGGCTTCAAAGTAAAATTGAAAAAAAGAAATCTGCTGAAATCATCCTCGCTCATTCAGGGTATTTTATCTGTATATTAAAAACCCTAGACCCATTCGTTACCATAGCTTTGTTTTAAGTTCAGTTTAAAAGATAAAACTAAAAAGAATGAAATAAAACTGCATGTTTCACAAGATCTCCATTCAGGGAATAAAAGGTGCTTGGTCACTTGTACTAAACTGTCTCCTAGCTTTTACTGCCTCACACACCTCGGCATGAATGGTAGCATCAAGATGGACTTCCAGGTCCATCTTGGGAAAAGATTTCTTATAACAGCCTAATGCGTCATTGTAAACTCCTTCACATTTAACTATATCCAGGATTCAAAGGTCGATATTCTTAATGTAAATCTATGACAACCATGCATGCGAGTCATTTGGATTGGTTGTTGATCAAGCTCAGGAGCAAGAGATGGTGATGTCACTTCTGAGGCCATGTTAGCAACGTTGACCACATATTGTTGCCATGACACCCACCTTGCAAACAGACATCTGATTGGTTGTGAGTGTGCCAGTCTTGTCAGAGCAGATAACGGACGTGCAGCCGAGTGTCTCCACGGACGGCAGACTCCTCACAATAGCGTTCTTCTTGGCCATTCTCCTGGTACCTGCACACAGAAAACACAAGTTGACACGACGAGCGTATATTCTTCATACCTACAATCAACCAACCTTGTACAAAGCATTGTGACCTAAGTGTACCAGTACCCATAATGTTTGGACAACTTTTAACAAAATTATCACGACTTGTCCATTTAATATGGCTGGGAAGTGATTCATGGTTATGGTGCTGCCAAACCAAGGACCATTACTGAGTAAATCTAGGATAAAAACCTATAATCAGTGGATCCTGCATGGGTAAGGGACGTAACTCTGCACAGTAAATCACAGCCAATTGCAGCCCTTAAGACAAGAGCATAAATGAAATTTTTTAAAATCTTTGATTGGCTTTTACTTAGCTTTACAATGGCTTTTTCTGTTTTCTTTTCCAAATAAATTTCACAAATTGGGGCAACTGGATTTCTTTCCTTCCAACAGGAAAGTCTTATTTTCAATGTCTGGCACCCCCCATGGGGATTTCAGGTTAGAATAGGTTTCCAGCAACGTGAACTAGTCGTATGTATGTCATCATACTCCAAAGGCATGGATTGCTGCTTATATCAATCACTGGATTGTCTGGTCCAGCCTCGATTATCAAAGAGCCCAAATGACATAGCTGGGATATTTCTGAATCCAGCGCTAAATAACAAAACAAAAAATTTCTAGCAAAAATTCCTGCACTGACCAAGAGCAAGACAGGTGGTGATGACAGCAGGCAGACCCTCAGGAATGGCAGCCACAGCCAAGGCAACAGCGATCTTGAAGTAGTAGATGGCGCCCTGCAAGACAAACACAGAGTAAGTGAGGGAGTTCATCACCATGGAATTTACAGCAATGGACTAAAGGACAACACCGTAATCCAAGGAACAACACTGTAACTAGGGTCGCCTAGGTTACCAGGACTTTGAAAATCCATGTCAATCCTTTCGTGGAATCTTATGTCGAGTAATCCAAAAATGGTGGTAATAATCCAGTTGCAACACCAACTTGACAACCGTGAAACAATCCACTCGAAAACTTTACGTCATCTCCCATGACAGCAAGTCCAAAGAAGCTCCTATCCAAATTGGGTTGGGAAAATGGTAAATCCATATATAGTGCATATCCAATGTGTCACCGTCCAAAGAATGGCCTTGCTGACTGTTTTCCTGCTGAGCAAACCAAGATGAGGAACAAATTCTCTCCTGAACCTAATGTCAGCCGCAGAGCACAAAGCCAATGCCTATAACTCACAATATGCTAAGTAATTATGCTAAACATGATTCACTTCTTTTTCAAATCCTTTTTTTAAAATCGGTTCCATGTAACGTTTGTTTACCTTGATCCATGATCCACCGTGAGCGGGGTCGTTGAAGTGACCGATGTTGATGGCCCATACAGCCACGCAGATAACAGTGATGACCTGGAGGAAAACATTATATCAGTACACGATGATTACACGAACAAAGTTATTTCACAATTGACTTTTACTTGTATGAGTACATTGGAGCGAGTTGGGGTTAACACCGCTTTGAACAGTATTCCAGTTATATCACGGCGTGTCAGCTATGTGGGAGGAGCCTGGAGTGAAATCCATGAGCATGGGTCTAGTGCTTACAGGCCTAGAAACAATCAGGGCGAACCAGGTTTTCAACCCATGGTCATATGTTTTGAGACGCAATTCTGCACAGATAATTGCTGCAACTTTGACAACTGGGCTACCCATAACCCACTATGAGTGAGAGAGTACTCTGTAGCAATATTCCAGCAATATCACGGTGGGGGACGCCAGTAATGGGCTTCACCCATTGATTGTATGCATATAGGGAATCAAACCCAGGTCTTCAGCATGACAAGTGAACACTTCAACCAGTGGGCTTCAAAGTTCAAACCTTCAAAGATCGAAGCCCAGAGTATGAATGTCATGTCAAGAACACATTCTCATGAAAAACATATGAAACATATTGTTCCTACGTTTATGAACGTCAGTTTCACAGTCATTTGACCGGCCCCTCCTCCAATGTAAAAGCTGTGTTATATAAACTTCACATTAAAAAAAACCTGCAATTAAACATTTTCTGATTTAAATGTGACTTCTACTGAGCCACATGAAAAAGGCGAGGAGGTGATCATTAGTGCATGTGTACCTTGGACAGCTGGTTGGAGAACTCGTCCAGTTTCTGTTGCAGGGGAGTCTTCTCAGTCTCCGTGTCCATCATCTCGTTACGGATCTTGCCTGGAACATGAAACATTTGTCAGTTCTTCCCAAACACAAATTATTTCTTAAAAACAATTTTATTCCAATGATTTAAAGCCAAACATATTTGTGTCTTCTACACCAAAGGCAACTTTTGGCAACCTTCTTAATAGCTCTAATGTTAACACACAGGCCATAATGAACTGAGCTTACTAGTAGCACTGCATTGTATTACTGGTATACCGCCATATGCATTTCGAATGATACAAATTGCAATGGATTTTTTTGTTTCAGTATATAGGGTGTATATTTAATATAAGTTTGTTAATTTTTATATCAAACTTAATATCTACACAGAACTTCATTCACAAATGATGTTACTGTTCAAAATTGACAAACTGGTGGAAACACGGAATGGATGCCTCATGTTATCTCCCCTGTATCCATGACTACAAAATGGTGGTGACTGACCACGCTGAGTAATATTTACCTTAGAATGGAGAAAATACGATCTGCATGTATAATCGGTCAATCACTGTTAAACACTAACTCCCAGTATATCACAACATTGCAATACTATTGTGTTTTGCCAATACACATCCCTACTTACTGGACACAGAAATTTTACTTGACTTGGGCTTTAGACCAGTGGTTTAATTCCCGATTGTTTAACATTTTCAAGTCTGATGACAAATTTCATGTGAAATGTAGCTTGTTTCCTTCCTAGGATTTCAATGTACGTCCGAAATGTGCTTTGGTAATCAAAATAAAGCATTTCGACATTCCCTGTACAGTTGACCCAACCACGCCAAAACATCTTGTAAAAATGAGAACAGGGATGGATTATATCCAAGAACGTCTACTTTCCTGAATAGTGAATAGTGGTAAACATACAGCAATAACCACCCTCCCACCCCAAAATGTTAGAAACACCATTAGTACTTAGGATTGATTTAACATTAACAAAACTGGTCAGTGCTAGCGGGCTCATTCTAGCCTCCATCCCTGGAGAACAGATGGATTGAGATATCAGGTTGTCTATCCCATACTGAAAAGTATGAATATATTGCACTGTTGATTGAAATCCTGTTTAAACAAATACAGGCTAAAAAAGTGCAAGGCATGAAGAGTGCATCATTTTTCGATTCTTGTGGACAGTCTCCCGGTACTTTTAAACAGTTTGACACAGCAGTCAGCCATACTAGCGCTTATGTAAATGCTTAGTCTCTCTCACAGCTCCCAGACAATATACAAAAAAAAGGAGTCGTAACTCAAGTCTAAAATGATTTGGCAAGTCTACATTGCCTCAGCCTGAAATTGAGGATTGTTTGGGGCTCCATTTGAATTTTACATTATACTTTGAAGATATAATATACTTTTAAATGCAACAGCTTTATTTCTGGAACTAAATGTTAGTCTGGTAAAAGCATTCAATTCTTGCCTAGACATGGAAAATAGATATGGGCTTTTTTTAGCGTCAAGAAAAATTCCTTTAACTCAGATCTAGCAACTTAACTCGCAATGAATTTTTCACCTGTTCAGTAACAGGAGACTTTTGCTATGCCCAGTGTAGCACTACCCAAAGAACATCAAATGTCAAGATCACTTTCTTAACACAACTTATGACCAGGATGTAGCATTGCATTGCATTGATTACAAGTAACAGAATCGTAACTGTTGGAATTCCCTATGCTGGGAACGTCTGTGCATCTTTTGTAGTAAGGAGGTGCCCTGTACCGACACAGAATCAAACACTGCCCTCAGTTAGCACACTAATGAACCTCAGTACTCAGCTCTAACACTTGGTAATCATAATGCCTGTATTTAGAAATGCCTCAAGCATTTACAGACTAGATCTGCACTGCTGCCATTTAGTTTTTTCCTGTGGTATTCACATTGGATATTGTATCGCTCATTATCTTTCCACATACTTTCTTATCTTTACCCCATGCAAAATCAAATTTATTACCCACAGTGCATCACACACCATGGCTGCACCGTAATCACCATGCACAGATTGCAATATAATTAGAAACACCTTGACACAAGGCAGCCAGAGTTACCTCCCCTGGACCTTCCAGCCATCAGGAGGCAGACGGCAAGATGGAAGCCTTTTATGGTAGGGCATGAGCATGGGAGGAAGATACCGAGGGGAAACGCAGTGGAATACAAAGGTCACAGAGAAACAAGGTGATCGAAAGATAGCTAACTCAAGTGTTGGAGTTGCCAGGAGCCTCTCCATATGTTTTACACACCTCTTTTATCTGTGCTGAGGTAGCCTGTTACATTGCATACCAAAACACCCCTGCACAACGTGAAACTAATTAATTTACAGGTGCATGGCATTTCCTAAACAACCTATCAAAAATATTTTTACAGCTACTGGCACATGGTCAATATATGATAATGGAGAGCTATTCTTTTTCGGTTGTAATCTGATCAACAAAGGTTAGGTGGCAAACTTGAAGCTTCACATATGGCGAGATGTTTTCACAAAACCTTTCTAATCTACTTCTCTGGTGTACTGTAAACGGAAATGTGCTTGAAAAGTGTTCAAAATAAGTTGGAAAGTCGAGGGGTGCTTTTCATCATCTTAAATGTTAAAATAACCATTTTGTGGATCCCTAGAACACATTCCAGCAACACTCAAAGACACTAGGACCACCCCTAACTTCTATCACTGCTTAAGATTGTTGGCCATAATTAGTTGCTCAAAAATCATATCACTATCACTGGCGAACAAACGGAACCGGTTGTATTTTTTAAAGAAACATTATAAGATATTTCACCTGTTTCTAAATTAACTGACTTCATGTCTACACATACTTTGATACTTATTTACACCACTAGTCCAGTAATATGTGGAGAACTTCCAACATTTTAAATTCTAGAGAGTAAGAGTGAAGTTTGGTTTAATGATGCTTTGAACATATTCCAGCAATAACACGGTGTGTCAGTTGAATGTGGGAGGAAAGCCTGAAGTGATGCAAGTCTCAGATGCTCACCACTTGGTGAAACCCTAAGTTCTAATCCTAAGTTTTTAAATACAACTTCATATTAATGACTCAATTGTGTATATCACTTGTTCTCGTCGCATATGGCTGAAATAATCCTGATGCAAAGTCAAATTATAACTCTCATTAATCCTAAGGATGTCTTACCCAGGATAGAAATAGAGAGGATTCTGGATCGTAGAAGTTAGGTGCGTTAGATTTTATAGTAATCCTTTCAATTTTCAAAATGTCTTTAGGGTAATGACACAGACTTCTTATTTCAAAATTAGTGTTATCACAGAGACCCCTTCCTCTTTCTCTTGACATTTAAGGGTTTTGACAGATGCCTTAATTCTTACACAAGATCAGGGCTATGACAGAACCCTTGATTCTTATGCAAGCATATTGATAGTGAACATGTGACTGGTGCCATTTCTGAAGTTGAGATGACTCCATATTGGCCAATCACTGCTCTACCACGAGCTGTGTCACGCAGGAAAAACCTGCGTATGCAGGGCACATCTCTGGCAGACTCTGCTCGCGATGCTGAGTGAGCACCTGAGACAGGCGTCGGCAGCAGGCGGTTGTTACCAGGATAGCCGGTGAGAACAGGGATAGAAACATTCCTGACATGTCGCTGTGTTAACTGCTGTACCAACAGTATCAACAGTGCATAAGTACACACAGGAATCTGAAGGCTGGTATTGACACACACAGAAAGAAAGAGGAAATAAGTTGCTTAGTCAGCAAGAATCAAGAATGAGATGCAGACTAATTAGTGGCAATGATGGTAGCAAGGACTGAATCTTAATACCTGCATCTCCCTACTAATAAACACGTCCAAACACCATATCCAGGCCATATTTATAAAGTAATCATTCTCATCTTGTAAGTGTCTATGCATAAAACCTCTTAAAAATATCAAAAAAAGGTAATATTTTCCTTGAAACTGAACCTTACAGATCAAAGTCAGAATGAGTGCTATTTTGCATTCAGTGCATTTATTATTGGAGATTATTTCTTGTGCATGGACTGTTCATAAAGTCATGAATTACCCCCCAAAAAGATTTGACAAGTTTCTTTTCTACATCAATCACTTCAAGAAAGTCCACATTGCACCCCACACGACTAATTCCCTCCACGTGGTGCTAAACTGCTCGTCAAACTACCCTAACACTAATCAGTTATGTCAGCAGGAAAAAATTAAACCGGTAATATTTTTGCAATGACCTTGAGAAGAAATCTGCAACATCGCCAACGTGAAGGAGGTGGTGGTGTTCCCCACGCCGCGATGCCAGCACCTACCAATATGTACTGGCATTGACCAGGTATGGTTAGAGGGAGACACACTACACCGATATCAAACATATCGGATTACCCCACTCCTCACACCTTCCCACAGTACATTCAAGTAGATGCTGCTTCCCTACTGCTGGCTCGGCTTCAGATACTGTTTCCACGACTACCTACTTCCTTGAGATCCACGTGGGGAAGCTAGCTACCAGTTAACCAGTTGTGAAACGGATCTCCGTTCATGAACTCGCGATATGTTCCCCAACGCCTACTACTCATACCCATGTAGACACTCTAATCACTTTTCCAGCTTCTTCCCAGTATTTTAACTAAAACACCTTATCACTAATTGCATTGAAGATTCGTCATGGTGTACATACTTAGGTATATTTATAGTCTCAAGTCCTTGTTCAACTAGAGTACTCAAAATGAAGAAAAAGAACACCCGATTCTTTCACATTACTGTAGTTAATATGTCATGGCTTGACTAATAATAGCATGAAAGAATGTGTGGTCCTTAACTTGTTAAGAGAAGTATATATACAAGTTGGTCTTAGGTGAGGTGAAGGTGAAATTGGTTTTAACGTTGTGTCCAAAATTATTGCACTTATATATAGCGACGTTCAAGCGCGCACATGCGCACTAGTCCAGACTGATGCCAATTTACAGTCCTAGCTCAAAGAGATACCATGCCGCATTTTAACATGAATACCCCACTCAGACACAGTATACTGACTCCGAGCCAACAGTCTATGTTTTAGCCCCTTAATGCCGAGCACCAGACAGGGTAACAAGTACCATCTTTTAACGTCTTTTGGTACGACGCGGATGGGGATCGAAACCCGGACCTTCCACTCTAAGGGTGGACGCTCTACCTCTAGATCAGAGGTGGTCGCATCATACAAAACAAAATGCATGCACCTGAATGACAATAGTCCCTCTGCTACACATGCAGAATGGAGGAAAGCTGGCGGTAGCGCCAAGTCACAGGCATCACATGGTAACCTCGGACAAAATGTCCGCTTAACTATCCTAGACAAAACGGTACAGGAGAGAGAGGGAGTTGGGTTTAACGCTGCTTTGAACAATATATTCAAGTCATATCCCTGTCAGCTTCATGTGGGAGGAAAGCCCGAGGTGATGCAGGTCTGACGTTTACCACTTCAGCAGAACCTATGAGAACAGGTATGGTGCTTAGTAACATTGAAACATAATCGGGGCAAACCAGGATTCATAGGTTGATGGCGGGCCATGGGATGAAAGCATGGAGAAAGGATATCTAACACCCACTCACCAATTTCAGTGTTTAATCCAGTTCCAATGCAAATACCACGGCATTTTCCAGCAGCAATATTGGTTCCCTGAAACACAAAGATGAAAAACATCCATAATCTGGCACTTCTTTACATCATCTGCAAACCAAGCCAGTCATCTGAGCATAGACAGTTGAAACAAAATACAGACAGAAGTGGAGATGAGGCCTAGCAACACCTTTCAGTGAGTGAGTGTGTGAGTTGGGTTAAACGCCGCTTTTAACAGTTTTCCAGTTATATCACGGCGTGTCAGCTTAATGTGGGAGGAAAGCCCGAAATGGTGCAGGTCTTAGACGTTTAGCACTTCGGTGAAACCCACGAGCATGGGTATGGTGCTGACAAACCTAGAAACATAATCGGGCGAACCGGGATTCGAACCCACAATCATTGGTTTCTGGCGTGTCCAAGGGACGCAACTTTGCAGAGTGAATCGCGGCGCCTTAGACGACTGGGCCACCTGTGCCCCCCTAACACCTTTCAGGTGTTCAGCGTTATAATAAAACAATTTCTAGACATGGCTGTTTATATGGAAAATTTCAGACCCCATAGATGTGGTGTTGACAGACCATGGCTGATAATTGGGAAGACATTTAGATACAACCCGACAACTGACACGGAGTACAGATACCATCAGCCTCTTTCTGGAGCCGAGTCATGGCTATTATAATTAATGAGTGAGTGAGAACCCTGGTCTTTGGCGTGACAAGCGAACGCTTTAACCACAAGGCTACCCGACTGCCCAATTATTCTTAATGAACAAATCAGAGTGATTAAGGATATTATTGCTTTCAGCAATATTCCTGCAATAACGTGGCAAGGGACACCAGACATGTTTCACACATTGCACTGATATTGGGAATTGAACCCAGACCTTCAGTGTGAGAGGCCAGTGCTTGCCCACCCCACCACCCACAAGTTCCCACTTACAGAGAAAAGGATGTTCTTCTTGTCCTGGTTCACAGCGCGGGGGTCGGGGATTGGGTCGGTGTGTTTCAGAACACTCACAGATTCACCTGCAAGGAGGACATGACATGACATTTAATTCACCATTTCAACAAGAGCTTCATGACAATATCAAACACAAACATAAGGAAATATTCCGAACTATTAGTGTCACAACATAGGCTTGTCTCAGCAAAATGACATGTCAGCAAAATGACATGCCACAGGAGCCTGAGAAGAGCTGATTCAGCACGATCTATCATGGCCCTTATTTACTCAAAATATTCAGAGCTGTGTTTATCACAACTCGTATACTGTTATCAGACCTACGAGAGTCGTAGAGTGAGCGAGTCTGGTTTTATGTCGCTTTTAGCAATATTCCAGCAATATCGCCGAGGGGGACACCAGAAATGGGCTTCACACATTGAGCCCATGTGGGGAATCGAAACAGTTTTCAGTATGACAAGCAACGCTTTAACCACTAGGCTACCCCACTGCCCCTGACAGTCGTAGAGCTGCCATATATTCGAGATATAGGGCCAGTGCCCGAATCAAAAAAGCAGTCGCAGCACGATTATATCTTCAACAGAGTTAGACTGCTGTTGAACTACGAAAGGTTTGAAGACTTAGCCCTTGGTCGAACATTATAACCAGGGCCTACATTGTCTACACTTCAAAGCTTGATGGAAATATGCCTCTCGTCAGCCAGCAGTGAATGGGTACCCAGTAGGATGTGATGGTTATGTGACTGTTCACCTTCTAAGGCCTCACAGGCAGCTTGGGTTGTATTAAAATGAAAATTGAGTGCACACCGATCTATCGACCAGGGTAGTAACATGGCGTTTGAGCATGCTCTAGGGTGTGGATTTGGCACATCATAAATATGCACATAACAACAACAGATGAGGATGATGATAACCTACCAGTGAGGATAGCCTGGTCAACTCTCAAAGTGGTGGAATGGACAGCGGTAATACGAATATCAGCAGGCACCTTGTCACCGACTGCAACCAGAATAACATCACAACGTACAGAACAGAGACAGAAAATTACTCACAATCATATGACAACATATACAGTAAGTTTGCTCACACTTAAATAGCTTCAAATACTGTGATAAATGGTACACCAAGACATCATCGTCAACTTTACTCTAAAACCATGAGCAGGCACGCTGCGTCTTAATCGTCTTAAACTTTCACCACTAGTCTAGTAAAATTATGTTTTTCCATTAAGCTCAGCTAGTAGAGTCTAATAATATCAAAATCTACCAAATATTTTGTTTATAAACAAAATCGGGTATATAGACTCAAAAGTTGGCTTTTACTCCCAGACTGTATAAAAAGTGTATTTTCATTTCAAACAAGACACGCTATGGCTGAAATACTGCCGAAGTGACTTGAAATTTTAACTCACTCACTGATTTCAAACAATATGCGTACCTGACACCTCAACAATATCACCAGGAACGAGGTTTCTGGCTTTGATTCTCTGAATACCACGGTGGTTCTGGCGGTAGACTTTGGCGATTTCAGGCTCATACTCCTTAAGAGCCTCAATAGCATCTTCTGCATTACGCTCCTGTGAGGGGAAATATTCATACACGTTAATCATCGCAGGTACGGAACACTGTCATGGATCAGTACTGATTACACATCAATATCAAACTAATAACATGCATCAGGTATTACCAACAGGGAATGTCAGGTCAAGGTATGATTATTTACAGACTGCCATCATACAGTGTAATATGGCTGAGTGAGGTGTTGAATAAGCACAATATCTATAACTGAATTGCAGGTCAAGGTATGATTAATTACAGACTGCCATCATACAGTGTAATATTGCTGAGTGAGGTGTTGAATAAGCACAATATCAATCACTGAATTGCAGGTCAAGACTTGATTATTTACAGACTGCTGTCATTCAGCGTAATATTGCTGAGTGAGGCGTCAAACTAAAAGGGATTAATATTGAGATCGAGTATGCTTTTAAACCAGTCACTATAGGTAAAAAAATAATACTTGTGAATCCAAGAACATACCACGAGATATTGGGTTGGTACGTAGGTTCAATATAATTACTTGATTAGGACATGATTAAATGAGTCCTCTTAAAAAGTTAATATGCAGGATGGAGGAACTGTCAAATAATGGTTAAGTTGGTCGGAGTACCAGAAACAATTATGTTGGGTGTTCACTATCATAAGTAGCACCATGGCACCAGAATGGGATCTGCACTTACCCATGTAATAACCTATCTGAAAATTCTGTATTGATGCTTTATTATGTCAATTGCTTGTCATCTAAGGTTAATGTTTCAAATTTCAAATTCAGGATTAAAACTGTCAACTGGTCCTAGAATAGTAAACTTGAGATTTAGTTAGTCTTTAATGATGATCACTATCTCATGCCTCATTTGTTCTACAATATACCCCTGAAACAGCCAGACACAGGCAACCCACCCGGACAAAAAAAAAACCTACCCTACAGACTAATCTCAACCCTACCCTGAAGCAACCCAACCCTTCCCTACTCTGAAGCACCCCACCCAACCCAACCCTACACTGAAGCACCCCACCCAACCAATCCTACCCTGAAGCACCCCACCCAACCAATCCTACCCTGAAGCACCCCACCCAACCCTAAAGCACCCCACCCAACCCTACCCTAAAGAACCCAACCCTACACTGAAGCACCCCACCCAACCAACCCTACACTGAAGCACCCCACCCAACCAATCCTACACTGAAGCACCCCACCCAACCCTACCCTGAAGCACCCCCACCCAACCCTACCCTAAAGCACCCCACCAAACCCTACACACTAATCATAACCTTCCTATTAAAGTCCACAAAGCATCATAAGTCAGACATCATAAAAGGCAGGGTTCAATGAACCTGGCACTTAACGACAGAGTTATTCAAGTGCTCTGTCTGTTTAGAATATGCTCAAGATATTAGCCCCGATATAGTGTTTCCCCTGAGAGATGAGATCCTACCTCACCCCCAGGCCCCCAGCTGCTAGGGGCTATTTTCTGGAAGCTATTTCTGCCGCAGTAGTACCCACATAACTCTGTTACTCTAGAGCAGCGCCAAACACCATTAGGTGCCAAAGGTGCTGGTCCAATTAGTAATCAAGTCATGGAAATTAGTCTGCGGTGTTTACAAAGCTGTACACCTATGTATAAAAACATGTAAGAGAAATGTGATATGTCATATCTTTGTTTAACCCCCTCCTCCTATCTTCTGGTCCAAAGCAAAACAGATCTGAATTGGGAAATGCTAAAGTTGGCTTCGCGCAAACACCAATGCCACCAAAGACTAAATATTGTATGTTGATAATACTGGGAATAACTCCCGATAAAGGTTTCTGAAACCTAAGTTAGCACACAATCATGTCTGTATTTCATGTTTTCATGTTTGTGTATTTTTTATACGTGAATCTATATTGATATTAGTCATGTTACCAACAGTATTTTCTGGTTACCATAGTTAGCATTTTTCAATTTATACTGTAGGTAACTTGTAAGGAAGAGAATTTATAGATGTCAAATTATTTTTTAAAGAATTTGACATCCATAAATTCTCTACCTTATGTGTATCACTTCTAAATGTCATTCAAAGACTATGTAAGTTATGTTTTAGTTTTCATATTGACTTGTGTTTCCTTGTTAACATAATGTTTCATCCAGTTGATAACCTAGTTAACACCCTAGTTTTTAACCTTGTGAATAGATGGCTTATCTTAGCTGTAGTTCCATTAGACAACTGAACTATCTGGCTTTGCTAATCTGACCACCCATGATCTGGACAAGATACAGATCCCTTTGTAGCTGTTATAACTATCTACTTTGTCCCTGAAGGGTGCTCAAAAGACTTCACCTCGTCTACAGAATACCAAGAGTCCAGTTATGATCAACAGAGCTGGGCCATTGTTTACCATAGGCTGGTGTTTTAGTGGTCATAAAACTGGAATGGAATATCACCAGACGAAGGCGATTGTGACTGTAAGAGGAAGATACAGAGCACATCCCAAAGGGGCCCTTTCTTGCTGTTACTCCACCGTCCTACTGCCCTAGTGTGGGTGGGGGCATTTACAGTGTGGGTCATATCCCCAGGTGGAGGGGTCAATACCAGGTTGGAGGGGTAGATCTCCACCATGGAAGGGTAGATCTCCAGGTAGAGGGCTAGATACCTGGTTGGAAGGGTAGATCTCCAGGATGGAAGGGTAGATCTCCAGGTTGGAGGGGTAGATCTCCAGGATGGAAGGATAGATCTCCAGGATGGAAGGGTAGATTCCCAGGTTGGAGGGGTAGATCTCCAGGATGGAAGGGTAGATCCCCAGGTTGGAGGGGAAGATCCCTGGGACAGAGGAGGTCTAGATCCTCTAGGTAGGGAAGACTGGGTGATGACGGTCACTGAGTGGGGTGGTGCTTTCTCTACATACAGTGCGGGAGGGCATGTACAATTGTGAAGGACGCCCTTGTACATTTTCATATGGAAACGTACCTCCAATAAGAATGTGTTATTATGGAACACATAACTTACGGATTATTTTTCTCTCCAAAATGAGCAACATTTGGCGAGGGAATGCCACAGATGTAGAACAACAATTCTATGATGTCATGAAGCCAATAAGAACATACAGCACATCCACCTCCCCACAGCAATCTATCTCCACCAGCGTTCAGGAGGTCTGTATGTGGTGATGCATGAAGGCTGTAATTACCAGGGGAAACCTGTACAAGCAGCCAGTCATTCATGGGAACAGGATACCCATATACTGTGATGCCTAATACTGTGATGCCCACACAAGCTTTGATGTGGGCCAGCAGGGTAGGCAGAACAACCAACAGTTTATTTCCCATCCATTAAGCTCATCAGGGGAGGTAATTACTTAGGTCAGAGGAAGGTCACTAAGACCAACTGGCGGTAGAATGCGAAACAACTATTAAATCCACCAACTTCAGATCCTTTTACTGTATTTGTAAAAAGAATTTAACTGGCAGGCTGTTTAGTAAATGTCAGGGTGTGACTGCTAATGATATGCAAATTAACCACAGTAGCTTTATTAGGGATCTTTTAACAAGCAGTTGTGTTTAGGTTTTGTTTTCGGCTGACTATAGCTGATTAGATTCATAAATTACAATGTGAGTTGGGTTTTATGCTGCTTTTGGCAATATTCCACCAATACCACGGTGGGACACCAGAAATGAGCTTCACACATTGTTCCCATGATGTGAATCGAACTCTGGTTGTTGGCGTGATGAGCGACCGCTTTAACCACAAGGCTACCCTACCATCCCTAGAGATAACAGAAGTAACCACAACGTGTTTGCTTGTACTGGTGTTGATGTTCTTTGATAGGAAGCCATGCAGTCAACCCCTATTATTCTCATCACAATCAGTTTGAGCATGTTGAGTTAATTCTAATTTAGCAGGCTAAAGGTTTAAAGCTTATAATTTCTTATGTAAAATCAATACCTTGTTGAAAGTCTTACTGGTTTAATAAATAAACTCAAATTGTGACCACCTGGTAAATAATCAAGTCTGTCCCATACAATGTGTTTGTTGTTTAACGCTGCACTCAGCAATATTCAAGCTATAAAACGGCAGTCTGTAAATAATCGAGTCTGGACCATACAATCCAGTGATTGACATCATGAACATCGATCCACACAATTTGGATACGATCAACCAAGTCAGAGAGCCTGGCCACCCGATCTTAGTCGCCTCTTACGACAAGCATGGGTTGCTGAAGACCAATTACAACAATGGTCATTATGCACAGTTATGGAGAAAATATGTATCAATCATAACATGGTTTAAGTAGGAGAAATGACTTGAATCTACCAATTCCGGGAATGGAACATATGAGCCACAGGTTGATTCGTCTTCAGAAATAAGATTCAAATTATTTCTCCATTATGAAACATACTCATAAGGGGCCAACTAAGTTATATTAACTATCAAAGGTGGTTTGGAAAATTTTCCCCCTCCGCCAGTGCTTCAACATGTTCAAAACATCCCAGGCACCCTTGATGAAAAAATGGTTGGCCCCTAAATAGTTGAACAAAATGAATACAAATAGAAGAACGTACCTGCCACACGCCCACTACTGCATTGGCTATTAAAATGGTTAATATAACAAATGGTTCTACGAAGGCTGTCACTTGCTCTTCATTCTCTTCAAACCAAGCTAAAACCTGCAACAGAGAAAAAACAGAAATCATGAGACACAGAGAGACTGACGAGACTAGGAAGGAATGGAATGAGTGAGTGTTTGTTTGGTTTGTTGTTTAACACCGCACTCAGCAATATTCCAGCTGGGACCAGACAATCCAGTGATTGACAACATGATTAAGTGACTCATATCATGAGCATCCATCCATTGGGATCGATGACAAGCATCAACCAAGTCAGCGAGCCTGACCACCAGATCCCGTTAATCGCCTTTTACGGCAAGCATAGTCGCCTTTTACGACAAGCATGGGTTGCTGAAGACCTATTCTACCCTGGAACATAGTTCATAGTTAACATCAAACTGACAAATTGAAGGTCTATATATAGGTATTACTATACACATATAGTATTTTTAATTTCATTATTATTAACAGATATATCGTGACACTTTTGAGTCGACATATTGATACTAAACTTCCCAATCAATTACCCTACATCTCAAATAGTAAACATGTGAAATGGTCATTGTGTAGATTCCCCAGTCATTCATTTCAGATTTTCAAGTGATTAAGTCATATTTTCTCTTGACACTACAATGAAAGAATTGAGAAATTAACAACCCAAATTCCCGTCTCAAACAAATCCCTGCATTGTATACACAGGGTCCATATTTAATCAGCTCTTGCAACAAACGGAACTAATGGGCCCTAGGGGGTATGAAATAACTATCAGCCTTCTACTACGACCCAACACCAAACACCACAGCTATTCCAAATCAATACAGACATCACTGTCCATGTACAAAATGTCATCTTTAATGAACAGTTCACACTACTGGACAACTTTAAGGATCTCCAATCCAGAAACTCAGCCAGGCAAATTTGTTTCATCAAGAAAACCAAGATAGACCTTTTTACTTTCCAGGTTCTGCCTGTTAAATCAATCCCGATATTCTATTCCCTTTGTGCTAAATTAAGATGCAGGATAGATGCCAACAATTCAGGTCTCATTTACCAAACCCATGGACACATCTTCAAACATGTGAGCAACAAATTGGGAACGGGGCCTATTTATTCCGTTTGGAGCACCTCGATACAATGTAGATAAGATCCTTATATAGCAGTCTTCGTCCCCGGTGCATAAAGACGAATTATTCTCGCTGTTTCTGAGAGCAGACTGCAGAGTTTTTTAAAGCAGTTGACAAGTTTACAGGATTGTGTTTTATATCAGCCCCCGGACAAGCCTCCCTTCACGGAAAAATCAATACTCAACACATTCGGTAGCTGTGAGGGCAAAGGTCATCTATTTCTTATGTCGGAAAGTACAATATCCACATTAACCATTCAGCTTTTGTCTAGACCTGCTCAGAGACTGATATAAATCTACAGCAAACATAAAAAGACAATCTCAACGGGGAAAAAAGAATTAATCCAATTACGTCAATACAGTTATAACCCTAAATGTGGAGGCCTGGTTGTGGTGACTTTGACTCCACTGATAACAAGATCAAATATAGAGGAAGGGGCTTTCATGCTGTATTTTACATTACTGCATTGAAGGGAATTGTTGTAACACCTATACAATTAAGAAACTGAGCCTTAATAAAATCCCAATATGCCTGCCAAGGCCAATAAACAATGAGTCATTGTTTGTTTTCAGCAATATTCCAGCTATATGATAGCGGTCTGTAAATAATCGAATCTAGACAAGACAATACAGTGATTGACATCATAGGTATCGATCCACGCCATTGGGATCGATGACATGCATCAACCAAGTCAGCGAGCCTGACCACCCGATTCCTTTAGTTGCCTTTTACGGCAAGCATTCATCGGGTTGCTGAAGACCTATTCTACCCCAGACTTAAATGAGTCCTTGATAAATCCCTGTCATTCAACTTCATGGAAATGTACTAGTTCCAACTTCTATCAATAGCTGATTGTTAACATACAGTGGTCAGGTCAAAGTGCAAATGACCACAAGTGACCACAACCAAACCTTTGACCTATGATAAACGATACCCAGATGCCTTTATTTATAACTTATGCCAATGCTTTCTCATGAGGCCCCAAAGCAATTGTTTAACACACTATAAAAGGTGTATAGATATTTAGATTCACAAATCAGAAGTACATAAGACTATAAAATACTCCAGTTAATGATAATCTGTTTCCAACTCCAAATGTCGAGTCTCTGGTTGTGCAGAACTTCGGATCCCTGCACACTTACTATATTTATCACTATTTTAACCCAAAAGTGTCAAATTCCTTGTTGCCTCAAACTCAATTAATAATCCCAAGAGTAAACATAAGATACATCTTATCCAGATAAGTCGAACTCAAAATTCTAAAAAAAGCACAAGATGGAATTAGCTTAACATAATATATGGCATATCTATCACAAATGTAGAAGCAGTATTTGAAATAATTTTAAACCCAACAAGATAGTCGAGCAGGTGACCCATAAGTGTTGCCCATAAGTTACCTGCCTACATTCAGGCATCATAAATATGCAAAAAAGTACAAAAACTATAAGAGACAAATCATGTCTTGACTCAGTTGAAACAAGGCAAACAACTATTTGAGAATCTACAAGGGGTTATAATATAACGGATTACATCAGTAGTCTTAAAATTAGCTGTCAGGCAGTCGGGTTGGAGGATATTTCATGCAGCCCGACAGAAAAGTTACCAGCCACGGGCAGGCAGTTATTTCGGACACTGTAGAAGTGACAATGCTTTCGTTCTCACTGACCTAATATGATTGGGTAGAACTACCCAGGCATAAAACAAAGACTGCAGCGTCCTGTGTATTGAGTGTCGTTCAGCACGAGGTACTGACATGGGAGCTTGTAGCCATAGCAGGCATAATCCTAATTTATGAGGGGATTTTGTTGAAATCTGTTGGCCCAGTTTGTGTAACACAAAGTAAACAGCTAGAGATGGTTCATGTCTGACACACCTACATGTAGACATTAACAAACTCAGGCTGTACGCGGTCAAACAGGAACATAACGTCTTCAGTGAACGGATATACCAAGACAAAATACACACATCTCACTGGGGAAGAATTCTAAATTTCAGCTTTTGGTTCTGATCAAAACACTTTCATACAAAACCATCTTATTTCACCTTTTGCTTATTTCATGTTCAGACAAATCCGAAGAAAACAGACTCAATGTTTAGTGTTTAGATAGTGAGGTGCGTTAACACAGCTTTGGACAGAATTTCACCTGTCAAGTGTCGCCGTCTGCTCCATGTGTGATAAATGCCTAGATATCCTAGTCAGTTGTAGGGACAACCAGTGTTAGACATTGGCACTAGCCCTATAGTCCTGGCCAAACTGCCTTGCCAATAGTAAAGGTATCATAAGGACTAGTAGAAATTTGCCAGGGTTTTGCTATGATATCATTATAAGGACTAGTAGACTATCGCTCACAACCAGCATGTCCTACAAGGCAAGGGACACAACTCTTCACAATAGGACCACTCCCTTGCATTAGATATGACACAAAACTATTTGAACAATTCAAAAGTTAATCTTCCCGAATCTTCAGAAGTTGATAAGAAAATGGATCCACACTCCTGCCGCAACAATGTTAAAATGACCTATATCATACCCTCGTACTAAACCCGATGTCCCATGGACTGGAGTTGGCACACTGACCTACATCAATGATACAGCCACTTGCAAACTAATGTGATAAACAATCCCGTCCTCCCAGCAGGCCCCCAGCCTCCATTACACAAGCTGCTGATGTACATCTGCTGAAGCTCTCCAAATATAGTCGAAGCTGATCCTCCCAAAGCCCCCTGGGAGTAGACAGGAGTTAGAACACTGGTAAAATGTTGCGACTTTCAGCTAGCTTATACAGTCATCTTGAGAAATCCAGCAAAAAGATACCACCAGAGCATTAAACCAATATAAGCCTGTCAATATATCACAGTTAGCATTGCTAAACAAAAACTCTTTCCATCTCGTGATAAAAGAGCATTCGCTTATCCCTGTTTTTCTTCCCTACAAGTTTGATCAAGGAGCAAGCTATGGCATGTCTTCTCAGTGAGGCTATCTCACCCAGGAGGGTAGGGGTGTCACGATAAATCGAAATATCGATATATATTGCTATTGGTAAGCACTTAAAAGTCAATAAATCGATTGTGAAATCAGTTTCCGATCAAAAGTATCAATTTCAGTTGGGAATATCGATAGTTTCGATTGTATTTACCATATCAATAAAATACAGGCTATGCTGTTCAAATTTGTTTTTCTTTTGATCATGAGTGGTAGTAATTTACACATGGTAATGTGGAAGTTTCTTTTTCTTAAATTATTAGGGTAGAGAAAAAACAAATCAGTCATATCTCAAACTATACTTTTTATTTGTTGTTGTGGTTATCACATTCAAAGGAAACTTCAGTTCCAAGGTTGAATTCAACTCTAAAATCCATCTTAAATGATACACTGAAAACTATCGATATTTATCGCAATAGTTGCTTGCAATATCAATAGTTATCGCAATAGTGATTTCCAGACCAATAGTCACCCCTACGGGAGGGTACTACCTCGTCCCCCAGACCTCAGAAAATATTAAGAAAGGAATCCAACTCAAGTCTAGAATGATTTGGCAAGTCTATATTGCTTAAGCTCTACACTGTTCTGGGCTCCATTTGAATTTTACTTCATATTTTATGGATATATATAGTTATACTTTATTTCTGGGACTAACTGTTAGTGCAGGTTCAGCTGCATCATTATGATACTGGTCAGCTGGGCATGAAGAGCAGTGCTAAGCAAGACAGCGTAAAACAGATACAAACTGTGGAGGCCTGATTTGGGTATCTTCAGTCATGCCAAAACCTTTTGAGTCTTACAAGCCCCATCTTAGCTCTCAGTATTAGTGTCAGTTGATGCCAGTGTTATTAGAGGGGCTATTATTAGCTGAACTTACTAACTGAACACAATTTCACTAGACACTTCGCAGACTGTATCCATAGTAATATTAATTTAATGAAGCACTGATTGCC